TTAGCATATATTTAAAAATAAATAAATAAAGACATAAAGTATATTTTATATTTTATCATAGTACTCTGTATAATGGCCATTTTGTTACAATTTTTGGCTTATAAATGAACAACTTCGGACATAAATTTGGTGAAGTCCACAAAATTATTTCTCCAAATTAATTATGGACAATTAATTTTCCAAGCGAGACGAGTGTTTCAATATATTGCGTGTCAAAAATGATGCTCGGTTGAATTAAAAATTAATTCACAAAATCGAACACTTGGAAAAAATAAACCCCACGTATCCCACATCGAATATGAAATCTCTCATCTTCCATCATTTATATACTAGCATCGAATTGCATGGTAAAGCGGTTTGAGAAGGATGAATCAAAGGATCCCTCGTGCACCGCCACCGCTGTCCATCCGGCTCGGCTCGGCACGACACGGCACGTCACACGCGAGCGAATGCGAATGTGAACGCGTGTTGGCGTGTGCATGCGTGCGCGCGACGTGTAGTGGTGAGGGCGTGGACCAACATGAGTGTGCACTTCGTTATTAACGAAGCAGGTTAGTCATACATGCATCTACAAAGAGCCTCTTGTGACTCTTCGTACTGTCTACTCCCAACGAAGAGTCTCTCCCACTCCTATTTAAGGAGCGTGAATCCACAGTAGAGAGTCACCACTCAAAACAAACCTTTTTTGTGTTCCCAAAAGTTCAAACTTTCTTAATTTCCGATCATCTTCTCCAGTGAGTAACTTTCCATCATTCTAAGTTTGTCGGTGTGGGTTTTATCCTAAGAGGAGATTGTCCACATTAGCTTGTGCGAGAGGCAGGCGATACTACCTTAAGGAAGCTCCGGTGACTCCGCTTTCCTTAATATTTGTTCTTCTTTCCGACCACACACCGAGAAGCTCTAGAATCCGTTTGACTCTCGATAAACGGCGTTCCTTCATTTATTTTATTTTACTAGTATTTTAACCCGTGCCATGCACGGGTGGAACGAATTTTTAATTTTCTTTTCCTACAACATTTTTAAAAATCGTATGTACCAAATAAAACATCAACATTAAAAGTTAGAATAATGATAAAATATACTTCCTCCATCTCACAAAATTTTTCTCATTTTGACTTTTAAATGATTTATTTTGATGTTGATCTTTCAAAAATGTCCTTCGATAAGATGGGTAAATGTAAGATGTGATGAGTAGATTAATAGTGAAAAAATATGATGAGATAGACAGGTTAAAAATTGGTAAGGGTAAAAGTGAATTTTTAATAGTAATGAGATAGATTTTTTTGGGATGGATGATAAAAGAACGAAGAAAAGTTTTGTGGGACAGAGGAAATATAATATTTGCTAATGAAAATTATACTATATATATTTGAAAATTAACATGTCAAACTCTTATTTAAGTTAGAACATTTTGAAAAATCAAGGTATATAACATTTTTGTGTGATGTTATAAAAGACTACCAAAAACATCTAAAACTAAGAATTTTAGACCTAAGAACATCCTCTATCATTAAAGCCATTTGATAATTTCAAGCAATAAAATGAACCCCGACACTCTATCAACCAACTCCGTTAAAGCATCCACATCAATCTTGATTTGCCATTATACAACCATCATTGATGGGCAAAAAAATGGTTCTCCCCATATTAGTTTAGACTATCGAATAAAATTGATTCATCTCCTCGCATTAATATTATTCTCGTTCCTCATATTGATTAAAAAATATTATTTTTCTTTCCACAGTTTAATTAAAAATATATTGATGATTTTATTATTATTCTCCTTGCATTAGTTATGATTCAAAAAATATGATTCTTCTATCCTGCGTCACTGCTTTAATTTTGAATAGCAAAATAAATATTATTCATCTCTCACGTATTATCATGATTTTCCTCTCTCGCATTGATTAAAAAATATTGAAATAATTCTTCTCTCCCCGCATAAGTCAAAAAAATAAAATCTTAGATTAGCAATCCTATAATTCAAAAAATAAAAATAAAAAATAATTAAAAATGCATTGATTCTATTCATTAGAATTACTTAAAGAAATTAATAGAAAAAACATTAGTGGTTCTATGATTTTGAGTAGAAATTTACAAAAATATTTTATAGGTTTTTTTGTGTTTTTTCTTTTTATTTGAGTACAAAATTTCTCCTTTTTTAATTTATTTGATTTAAATATTTGATCATTTTGAAAATAGGCTAAATGTTTGTAGTAGTTTAATGCAGAGATCAAAATATATTTTTTAAAAATTTTATTTTATATCAATATTTAAAAAAATAAAATCAAAACTAAATTCATTTAAGTGTCATAAAAATATGATTTTTTTTAGAGGTTATGAAAGAATCTATTTTAAAGGAAGGAAATCTCATTTATTCATTGATAGTTTTATTATAAATGTTGTGAAAAAATATACAATTTTGAAAAATGTATTCTAATGAAAGTGATGATCTATTTTTCATAATTAACTTTGCTTAATAATATTAAAATCATAAAAAATGTTAGTGTAAATATAGTATGTCTTGGTAACACATTTTTTATCAATTGTTAACTACTCCCTCCGTCCCAAAAAGATTGTTACGTTTAATTTTTTGGCATCCCTTAAAACATTTTTATATCATCTCAAATGCCCAAAAAAACTTTCAAAACAATTTCATCTTATAATAAAGAGTAAATATGGTAAATTTTAGAATTTTTAGATGTGAGTAGCAGTGCTTTTTGTGATGCGCAAAAAAATGAAATGTAACATTCTTTTTGGGACGGAGGGAGTATTATTTAATTAAAAATATCACATCATAATTCATAAGAGATGACTAAGAATATTATATTTTTAAATTTAAATCATAAATAGTCTAAGGACTATAAACTATAAATTTTATATAATAAAGTCAAATCATAAAATCAATATAATCGAACTATGAAATCACACATAGTATTTTTCCTATTGTAATATAATTATAGTTTAGTCATCTCTTATTCTATACTCTCTTATTGATGTAAATTTTAAAATATATTGTGTGTTTTAAATTTTATATCAATATTTCAATGAATCAAATCAAAACTAACTTCGTTTTAACATATCATAAACACAACTTGTACCAAATTGATTTATAGGTTAAAAATCATCTTATCTATTGGTTGAAAATTTTATTATAAAAGAAGAGAGTAAAAATTTTTGAATTGGGAAAGGATATTATCATTAAAATGAATGATTCATTTGCATACTTAAATTTATTCAAAGATTTCACACCAAAATATTGATTTCACATTTTTTATATTTTTAATTAAGTGGCATATTAGACTATTAGTTGTCAAAATAAATATTAAAGTTATTTATTGGTGAAGAAAACAATTTATTTATTAGGTGTCAATATTTAAATAAATTTAATCAAAAAACTAATTTCAAGTAAAGGTATAATAAATAGTTATAAAATTTATTTATAGGTGAAGTGAGTATTTTATATTTTATTCTAAAAATTTGTTATAAATAAAGAGAAAAAATATAAAATTTAGAAACAATATTATTATAAAAAGGAATTGTTTTCCCCATATTTATATTTAATCAAATATTTCTTACCAAACTTTTAATTTATATTTTCCATATGAAAAATTATGTGACGTATTAGGTGTTAAAAATGGCTACATAAAAATAATTTTCTTTTCTTTTTATTCAGTTCATAAATTGGGTTGCATAAAAAAGCCACATAAGTAATGACACATGTTAGCTCATAGTAATGCCACATGTCTGTTTCTAGCAATGCCACATGTCATCTCCTTAGAGCTTGGAGTCTCATTTATATATATAAAGGATTTTATTCCTTGTATTGTAAAATCTAAACATGTTATAAGTTCGGATTTTTTTCGTTCCCGCTGTAATCTTTGTTCATCCATCTTAAGGTAGTAATGTAGTATTATGCATTTCGGATTCGGCATCGTATGTTTTTCAAGCAACGAAATGAGTTCCGAAGCTCCGGCTGAAACTATGTTGATGAGTTTAGATGCGAACTCCTCACCACTACCCTACGTGTCCAGTACGGGGAGCGTTACCGTTACTTCTTTTTTTTATGCCGAGTTCGATCTTTGGGTCGGCTCCTCAAGCCGTTCCTGGGGGCGCTTTCATTACCTCTTTTTTAATGTCAAGCTTGATACACCATATTTTTTTTGTGCTGCATACTTTGTATGTCGAATGCATCTTCTCTTTCTTACTTTATCGCGTGTTTGGTTGGGGGAAATATTTTCCAGGATAACTTTGATTTTCTTTGACATCACTAGAAAGGAAATATTGGGGAAAACAAATTACATTAAAAATCAAAGGAAAATATTTTTTTCTCTTGGTATTCCCTCCTCAAAGTTCTCATTTTCTTTTTCGTCTTCTTTTCTTTTCTTCCCTCTCTAACAAAACAAGTAAAAATATTTTTCATCTCATTTTCTTTTCTTTTCCCTTTTAAATTCCTTGAACCGTGTGTTTGAGTTCACTTCCTTTTTCTTGGTGTAATTTGTTGTTTTGTTTTTATACACTTATTTTCCGTATAACTTAAAGGCGTACATGGGTTTGATATCCATCCAAGAAGTGATTGAGGCATGCCAGAGTTGGATGGGAAGAGATTGGAATGTTACCATCTGTCATATTCTAAGGGGTCAGAACAAAGTCGCAGACTTACTTGCCAGAATGGGAAAAGACAGAGCGTTGATTTGGAGAGAGTTAGAGTTTCCACCGAATGGTGCACGTCAATTGCTAGAGGAGGATAAGCTGGGGTACTATTGGCCAAGGCGTGTGACAGTGAGGAACCTTTCTCGAGGTTCTGAGGTTGTTACCTCTTCAGTTCGATAAAAAAAAATAGACTTTAGTGTTAACGGCCCAACACAACTAGGCTCATAGAAGCTACATTTAACAATGCAATCTCTCTTAAATCTTTAATATGAGCAAGAGAAATCATGAATCTGCCTTTGTGTTCATCTAATCTAACACAGCAAAGGCATTGAAATCACCTCCAAGAATCCAAGGCCAGTCCTTTATTAACTTACTTTGTATTGAAAGTGATAAAGATTGCCAAGAATCAAAGGTATATGCATAAACATGTCATAATTGATACTCCATAATATAAGTTGTAAGAGTATATTTTAACAGAACCCATAATCTCACAATGTGGCAGATGGTACCTGCCATACATGGGAGGAGATCATCACCAATAATCCCCACATGAGCAGGTTCCGTTCTTGAAGTGGTGGAACCGGTGCATGTCGCGCACAATTATTTCTCTCTGGGTCACGAGAGAAATGAATTTCGTTGCGGTATGACAATCACCACAAACCCGAAGATTTTTCCTGATATTGATAGTTGTACCGTGACTAGTGTTCAAAAGTCCAAATGCAATGGCCAGTTTCTCACTATGGGTATTGACCAGCTGCTCATGGACATCATCTTCCACATCATGAATTGAATCTCTATTGGGTGTATACCCAGCAGCTTTGATCCTCTCCATCAGAGTTTCAAGGTATGCATAGATTTGTTTTGACTGTGGGTGGGTTGTGCTACCCGAGTAGAACGAATGCACCTCGTTTCTCAAATCCACCAAACTACATCCGGGGGTTTTTCGAATCCCTTTCTTTTCCATCAAAATTCTGACTTTAGCCACTTTGTTCCATAGTGAAGCTGAGGCGTATATGTTAGCAAGGAGGACATAGTATCCACCATCATCAGGCTCTAGCTCAAACAATTTGTCTGCAACTTCCTCCCCCAACTCAACGTTCTTGTGGATCTTGCAAGCACCCAACATTGCCCCAAAGACATTGACCGCGGGCTTAACGGGCATTTCTTTGATGAAATCCCAAGCTTCATCAAGATGGCCCGCACGACCGAGAAGGTCAACCATGGCACCGTAGTGGTCCATTAAGGGGTTCAAACCGTATTCTTCCTTCATGACTTTGAAGTAGTGTTTCCCCTTCTCTACAAAGCCCGAGTGGCTGCAAGCCGAGATGATGCATAAGAAGGTGATGTCATTAGGCCTTGTGGAGTGTTTGCGCATTTCCTCAAACAATTCAATAGCTTCCTTTCCAAAACCGTGTGTTCCATACCCATCAATAATAGCATTCCAAGTTATTACTTCCCTGTCATTATCCATCATGTCAAAGAGCTTTCTTGCAGTGTGAACTGCTCCACATTTTGCGTACATGTCCACAAGGGCAGTTATCACAAACTTATTTCTGTCCATACAAGTCCTTATGGCAAGTCCGTGGATCCACTTGGCTTGGCGTAACACTGATAATTCAGCAAGTGCTGTGGCCACACTAACCAGAGTGAACGAATCGGGTTTGATGCTCTGCAGTTGCATTTTGCAGAAGAGACTCATGGCTTCCATTACTTGTCCATTTTGTGCAAGGCCCAAAATCATAGCATTCCAAGTCACAAGTGTCTTTCTGCTAAAAGTCTGAAACAGCCGGGAAGCAATGTCGGCTCTTTTGCATTTACTATACATTGAGATTAAGGAATTAACGATCAAAACATCTGAAAAAAGTTTCAATTGATCAATCATTTCATGAATGCGTCTCCCAAACACAAGATTCCCCAGTTCAGCACACGCGTGTAGAGCCGACATGACAGTGACATTGGTTGGTTTTAATCCTTCATTCAGCATCTTTTCGAACAACATCAGAGCTTCGTCCGAATTCCCACTCTGTGCATACCCATCAATCATGGCATTCCATGAAACAACTGTCCTGAACTCCATCTTGTCAAAAACCAACCTTGCAGCGCCCAGCGAGTCGCATTTTGCATACATATCCACCAGAGCAGTTGAAACATTAACAAAAGATTCCAACCCATTTCTTATAACATAGCAATGTATTGATTTCCCAGCCCTCAAGGATCCAATAGCAGTGCAGGCAGGCAAAATCGAAACAACAGTAACCGAATCAGGCCTATGAAATGTTTCCCTTTGCATCTTCAAAACCAATTCCAACGATCTCTTAGGCATCCCGTTCTGTGCAAACCCAGAAATAACGGCGTTCCAAGCCACCAAGTCCCTTTCAGGCATTCTCTCGAACAGCTTGTGCGCATCTTCCACCATCCTGCATTTGGCATAGAGATTAACTGCACCGGTCATGGCAAACAGATTGCTCGAGAACCCATTCAGTATCAACTGCCCGTGTATCTGTCTGCCCTTCCGGATATCCGATCTATCCGCACAGGCCTTCAGCAAATAAACATAGTCAAGAACAAGGGGGGTGACATGGTCCGACCTCATGCGAGAGAAGAACGAGAAACAGGACTCCAAAGAGGAGTGATTGGCGTACCCTTTGAGCATAGCGTGGTACAGAGCATCAGATTTTGAGGCAGCGGATTCGAAGACTCCGGCGGCCTCATTCAAGCTGCCGAATTTGGAGAAGAGGGTGACCAGCTTAGCTCGGAAGAGGCGGCTGTCGTTGTGGAGGCCGTTCTTGATCGCGCCGGGGAGAATTTGGCGGAGCTCTTTCAGGGAAGCGCAGCCGTCGAGGTCGGTAGCGGGGTTTGGGTGAGTGTAGGCATGGGCTGGGGGGATGTGGGCCCTTGTGGCATGAGACGGCGGCGTTGGTTGTGCGCCGGGACTGCTGCCGAGTAGCTGGAAACTCATTTAAGCTTGAGATTTTTTAAGCCATGGTCGATGTAATAATATACTGACGGTTATTACTCCTTAAAACATAAACAAAGATTTGGCTACCCAATTTTCTAATATCTTCAATTTTTAAAATGGATAATGATAGGAACTCACTACCGATGCTTCCATGAATGACAATACAGATAATTTTATACCTACACAAACAGTAATCATCTATGTTGTTCACAGATGATTATCGTCTGTGTATGTATAAAATCATCAGTATTATCATCCCTGGAGGCATGAGTGGTGGGTTTGTAGCATTGTCTTTTTTAAAATATAATGGGAGACATCTTAACATATGAAAGAATTAATTAGAAGGTGATTTTCAATCCCTCCTCTCTCAAATGATTGTCACTTTTGTTACGATCATCCATCATCGTAAGACTGGTAGTACAACGGTGACAGTGAAAATGTGATTGTAATTGTGACAGTTTTATAGTAATGGTGGTAACAATGTGACGGTAACTGTGGGAGTGGTGGGGAGCTGATGCAATTGTTTTATATTTGCAATCTTTTGTTTGTTTTAAAACTTTAAACATGGACAAAAATAACTTTTTATTGTAAAATACTCCCTCCTTCCTAAAACTTTCTTCTCAGAGCACTATTCCAACTTCACGGGAATTTATATTTATTTGTGTTTTTTCATGGCCTATATGATAAAATAAAATATTCTTGTCACCACTTGTTTTGTTGAACTTTTGATATAGTTTTTAAATATGTATGTTTTATTTGTTATTTCTATACCAATATTTAAATAAAATAGATTGAAAAAACTTAGAATTTTTCTTTGTTTTGCGCAACGGGAAGAAAGATATAGGACGGAGGGAGTAACTCATAAACTACTCCATATTTAGTGAAAAGATCGAGGTCAAAGCTTCTATCATGGGTCCCTATTTAAGATCTAAATTACTTTTATTACTCCCTCCGTCCGGAAATGATGTTCCCGGTTTGACTTTTCCTCATTTTTAAGAGTGGTTGATTATGGGGAGGAATGGTCCAAAATACCCTTCACTAATGAACACCCCAATTTCCGCTAGAAGAAAAAAGGAGAATCTGTTTAGATCTAGAAGTAAAAAGGGGAATCTCTGTGGATCGGTGTGGAGGATCTAGAAGAAGAGGAAGAGGCGGAGGATGATGAGAAGACGAAGAGGGGGATCGGATCTGTGTAGATCACAAAAAGAGTAGGGGAAGAAAGAGAAGAGGAAGAAGAAGAAGAAAAAGAAGATGGAGATCAGAGAAAGAGAGAAGAAGAATGGAAAAATGAGGAAAAAGAGGGGAAAAAGAAAAAGATAAGGAGAACCGAAGGAGAAAAAAAAGAGAGAAAGAAAGAAAAGGATGATGGTAGTTTTGGAAGAATGGGAAAAAATAAATAGAATGGAAACATCATTTCCAGACGAAAAAAACGTACAATGGGAATATTATTTCCGGACAGAGGGAGTAATATTTTTGTGGCTTTGAAAGATATGAAACTAAAATTAGTGTTACTTGTAGTGTATTTATATTATTTTTTTAATTTGTGGTAAGCATATTTTTAGCTGTGCAATAGAGCATTTCTATCTTGTTGGTATTTTTTTTCTATTTTCTTCACCATGGTAAAAACAATGGTACAAAAAATTAAATAAATAAAATAGGATAAAAAAACCAAACAAATGCCTCTCTGTAAATATATAAAAATGGCAAAATTAAAACATAAAATAATATTGATTAAAAATCTAAAATAGATAAACGGGAAAAAGAATAATTTGGATTTCGAGGCACAACTCAACTGACAAAGGTAATTGATGAGTTTTGCTTGCAACATATAAAGTGAGAGTTCGAATCTTGGAAAGGATTCTTTGTTTTGGCTTTTGTAGGAGACATTAGCCGTGGTAAAATCTTGTTGTCCGAATTAGATGAGACACACCCCGTAAATTTTCTCTTGCACTAATCCTAGTATAGGAGATTAGGAGGGATGACGAACCTTAATTGGGGATTTCTCCATTTTTTAAAAGAAGAAGTTGAAGTGATTGAATGCATATTTATCTTCTTCAACAATTTCTAATGGTTGCGTGGAGTGTAAGCATCCTAGCTTTGTCCCCGAGTATATATTTATTTACTTTTGACTTTTTTTTATTAAAATGTCAAACTTTGATAATAAAATAAGATATGAAGCTCTTTTTTTGTATTTTCTTCATATTTTAATTTTACGTTAGTATTTTCCTTAGAAATTACTCCGTATGTAGTATATTTTACTCTTATTTTTTGTTGATTTTTTTTAAAATATCAAAGAAAAACGTTCTTAGTACTAGCTCCGTATATAATACTTCCTTGTCCTGAACGATTTTTTTAAATGTCTTTTTTTAATAGATAAAAATCTTTTAAGAACTATTTTTATTAAATTTTCATCTTTCTTCAACTTTTTTTAAAAATATTAAAAATTAATTTGAAAGTAAGGGTATGTCTATATTTGATTTGATACGAGTATATAAAAAAAATTCTCTCTATCCCAAAATTAATTTCTCAGTTTAATTTTTTCGATCAAACTTTTAAAGAAAATCTTGTCTAAATTTAATGCCGTTGAACCTAGTGTTTCAACAGTGGGGGAGTGCAGGCGAAAGCATTCCGGCGAAGAAGAAGAAGACAATAGATCCGTTTTACCATTTTCTCTATATAAATTCATCTTGTCAAAGCCGTTCAATAATTTCCCAATTTCCCCATTTTCCATTTCCAACCACTCTTCACAAGTTGACCATCTCCCCCCTGATTTTCACAGGCGTCGCACTTCCCTCCTTTTTGACCTAAACCTCCTCATAAACCCTTCTTCTTCTTCTTCTTCTTCTTCCTCCTCCTCCATCTGGTCCCAGATCCAGAGGTTGAAGAAGAGCTTTTTTTGAGGTCTGAGAAAGACGGTCATGGCGGCCTCCCAGTTCCCGGAGGACTTCCGGTGCCCGATTTCGCTCGAGATCATGTCCGACCCGGTTATTCTCTCTTCGGGTCACACTTTTGACCGTTCCTCCATCCAACGGTGGCTGGACGCCGGCAACCGGACTTGTCCGATTACTAATTTGCCCCTCCCCGACCCTCCCTCGATCATCCCTAACCACGCCCTCCGCAGCCTCATTTCCAATTTCGCCCATGTCTCCTTGCCCGTTCCCGACCGGGTTCCCGATCCGAATGCCCTGATCCAGATCTTGGTTTCCAAATCCACTCCGTCGGGATCTAGACTCACCTCCCTCGACCAGTTGACTAAGCTCTGCAAGCGCGACTCCGCGATTCGCCGCCGGCTGACCGAGTCCGGCGCGGTCTCCGCCGTGTTGAGCTGCGTGGGTGCGGACGACGCCGACTCCGGGCTTCAGGAGAAGGCCCTCCACTTGCTCCTCAACTTGAGCTTGGACGACGACAATAAGGTCGGCTTGGTCGCGGAAGGCGTGGTGGGGAAAGTCGTCGCCGCCCTCCGCGGCGGCTCCGGCGACTCCCGCGCGGTCGCCGCCACCGTTCTCACAAGCCTGACGGTTGTGGAAGTGAACAAAGCCACAATCGGAGCCTACCCTGATGCGATCCCAAGCCTGGTCTGGCTTCTCTGGTTTGGGAATTCCAGGGAGAAGAAAGAATCAGCCACGGCCCTCTACTCCCTCTGTTCATTCCCGGAGAACCGGTTCCGGGCAGTTGAAAACCACGCAGTTCCCATACTCATACAGAATTCCGGCTCTGGCCTTGAAAGAGCCGTGGAGGTTCTAGGGTTACTGGCAAAATGCAAAGAGGGCAGACAAGAAATCATGAAGTATGGGTGTTTCTTGGACACATTGCTTGATTTCTTGAGAAATGGGTCATCCAGAGGCGTCCAATATGCTCTCTTGACCATTAACATGTTATGCACTTTCAGTGAAAGAATGTGTACAGAGGCCATCAGAAGAGGGGTTTTCGAGGCCTGTTTTCAACTGCTGGATGATGAGAATGAGAAGGTGAGAAGGAATGCCAGTAATCTGATTCAGGTTTTGCAAGGGAAGAAGGGAATCTTTAGTAGAAATGGAATGCATTGATTCTTCCATTTCATGATGATGATGATGATGATGATGATGATGATGATGATGATCCCAAAGGAGGTAAGTTGGAAATTTTCTGAATTTTCTTTCTTTCTTTCTTTTTTTGGGTTGATTAGATTCCTCACCCTTTTGTACAAAAAGATCAGAATTTGGGAGGCAAATCATGTTCTTTATGTTGTATATTTATCAATAAACATGATGATGATGATATGTGAAGACCCCATGCCTTCCCCTGTCTATTTTCTGCTGTGTTTATGAAGATCCAAAGTCAATCTTTTATCTGTCCTTTTGCAGTCCTAGTCTGTCTTAGTGTTGGCTATTGTCCCAGTTTCTGTGTTTTGGCTTTTTGGGAAGTGAATGGGAAAGAAATTTCATTTAAGAAATAACAGTGGCTGAAATCCAATGATTTTTATGAAAGTAAAAGTGTTTGGTAGCATCCATGTCAAGGGAGAGAATGAGTACAAGTAATTCTCTTCTTCATATTGTTTTGATCTGATTTGAATAAATTCGGATATGATTTGTTTTGATAATAGTTACATCTCAATTTGTTTTTGATCTGTTCTGATATGATTTCTATAAGAATAAGTAATAAGTTGAAAAAAACATGCTCTAAATAAGTCATTTTTTGACATGTTTTAGCTTCGAACAAGCAAGAGATATTATTTTTCTTCTTACTTTCTATGAAGTTTTGGGCAGTAATTGCAGTTGTTTAACATAAACAATCTCTTGGTTTTTTTAATGGGGCAAAGGTTGTATTAATCTCAACCCTAGACTACAGTAGAGTTGAGATTATCTTGGGATTGGTTTTGTAATTTTAAGCTCCAAAGTAGTTTTGGTCCTTTCCTCAACATAGTCACCATTCCTTGTATCCGGACATCCTATGTTTCTTTGTCCTACTCATTCATTCATTGTAATTGTGCATCTTGTCTTGTCTCATTGTTGTCTCTGTCTAAAACCTTTTTCTTAATTACTATTCACACGCTCATATTGTAATTACTTCAATAATATAGTCATTTCACATCTTGTTTTGTAGAACATTTGTTATATTTTGAATTAGAAATAATTTCAGTCAAACCTCGTAAATCGAAACGGGAAGAATGTTTTAATATTTCTTAAAGTATATATGAATGAGTCGGGTGATTGATCGAGTGACGCATGAGAAAAACCTTTACCTGCATCTAACATGATCCATCGCCACTTCATCCATCATCTGTTCATCATCTTTTTTTGTTTGGGGTTTTATCCATTAAATCGGTTCTAGTGATTCGATTATTCGTCGGGTCAGGTTAAAATTGCCATCCATACTTACATTTCATAGAGATAGCTCCATTCTCTTTCGATCTGATCGAGATTGTAACTCAACTTACTATTTTCCAACCTACCATTGAGACTCATAATGGGAGACCTAGGTTGGGATTTTTGCCAACAAATAGTGAGTAGGTAAAGATAGGTGGCAAAGTGTTTCCTTGTCTGCATTCTATTATTCCCTGTTACATGCCTTACTAACTACTCTTTCACACATTTTGTCTTGCTTCACAAGTTCACATGCCTCAACTTTTTGCAATAATCCANCTCCCCCCCCCCCCCCCCACCCACCGACCACCACAAATGGCCCTCAGTTTGGCAAATGGTTTAGTATTTAGTTTAAGATACTTTTATCCCATCTAAAATATCGTGAAAATATTTTCTACCCGATATAAAGTAGAAATAGTGTGAATCTTAGACATTATAGATATGTATAGAAGTATATTTAGGGATATGCAAAAAAAAACAAGAATTTTTTTTAGAGACGGATGAAGTTATTCATTAGCTATAAACACTATTAGATGTTACATCTACAACTCCAACCATGTAGTCTTATTAGTCTTAATTTTTGCTAGTGGGCGTTGCATAATTGGCAAAAGCAGAGAGTGTCAAGGAGGTAGAACCGAGTCCGATTCTTGACAACTGTACTAGGAGGTAACTGTGCTAGGCATAGGGCATTTGTAAGTACAAAATGCAGGCTCTATTCTCTGTCATCAATCTGCAATTAAAGTCTAATTTACCTTTTTTGAATAATCGTCTAGCTGGGTCTGAGGGGCCCTGGGGATGGGCTCATCCTTTGTCAGTATTAATTTTAGACTTTTAGTACTTTGTATATGTTATAGTACTCCCTCCGTCCCTAAAAAATTGTCACAAATTTTCTTAAAAAATGTTTTCCTTCTCATTTTCTTTTCTTTTCTCTTTTAAATTTCTTAAACCAAACATAGTGCTAAAGATTTAGCAGATGAATCGTTATCAATTTAATATAGTTGGTGTAACTTTCATTTTAGTTGAAAATAATCTCAGTCAAACATCGTAAACCTAAATATGCGATTTAGTTTGGGACGATAGAGTACAAAGTAAAAATTGAAGAAACTACCCTAAATAGGAGTAAAATATAAAGAAAATATCACAATAAGAACTGCATGTTTTATACCTAAAATTGGAATTTGCATTATTGTAGTGCAACACTGTATATAGATATTTCATAGTAGTGGCGGCAACTGGGGAAGAAGAAGCGGAGCCTGGCGACGAAGAAATGGGGGTGGGGGGAATCGCAGGTAAGGAAAGGTAAGGAATGAGAGGAAACCCGGGTATAAGCGGGGGAATGGGAAAAGCCTGGAACGGGGGTAATCCAAAACTTAAAAATAGGGAAAGGGAATGAAATTTTTTTAAAAACAAACCACAACAAAGGGAATGAGGGAATCCCATTCCGTTTCCCCATTCCCTTACCCTCGAACCAAACGCCCCCTAATATTTTTTGTTAATATATGTGGTCATGATTGATTATATAAGTACATTTTAATTTTTATGTCAAAAATAAAAACATGAAACTCATATTTTGATATATTTTTAATGTTTTGATTCTATTGTAGTCTCTTTTTTTTCTTCTAAAATTGTCACCTTATTCATCTTGAAAATGGGAGTGATGCCATTTAACTAGACCGGATATTCTCAATGCTAACAAGAGTTTGCTTTTGCACAATATCTCAATTTTAGCGAATAAATGAACTGGTTCAAATATCTATGTTGACTTGCATTGCGGATTTGCTCTAAAATATTAATGTTATGTTTGGTTCAAAAAATTTGAAAAAAAAAAAATTTTCCATTTACCTCGCCAAAAATGAAAACGTTTGGACTTCACTCTTCTTAATACATATTCCTTCTAATTTGTTTTCTTCTCTAACCAAACAAGAAAAACTATTTTTCATCTTATTTTTTTCTTTTCCCTTTAAAATTCCTTGAACTAGTGTAAGGGTTTTAATCCAAAGAGATATTAATTTTTTTATCTCATAAAGAATGAATTTCCTGGCCAACTGAAACCAACATTAGTGTTTCTTTGGTCATATCAATACTGTAGATCTTCTCACATAATTTTTTTTTTCATTTTAAAAAACAAACGTTTATTTAAATAGTAAAAAAAATACTTATTTGCTAAAACAACATGGTTGAGAATTGTGAGATCACCTCGCGTGCGGTGTCCATGTTACCAATCATATATGTCGTATTAATTCCCTCATGTTTCTTTCACAAAATCTAAAAAAACAAAATTTTGATTGAAATTTGTTACGAAAAAAGAAATTTTCTTGGCAACATGCTTTTGGAAAAAATATCTACACTTTACTTTTGAAAAAAAATTGTAGCCCATAAAATTTATCTCCTTTAAACCACTATCAACCATATAATTTGACTTTTTTTAAATCTTATGACAAGTCCATAAGTTGCTGAATTTGTAAATTACTTTTACCTTAATTTGTGAACTAATTGCTGACAATCTGTCTCCTTCCACCATATGATGAAAATGTTGAAGAAAAAAAGTAAGAAAAGTTAAATCTTTATGTACCAAAAAAATCAGGAAAGGCCCTTTTCATGAAAAAATGCCAAGCAAAGACCGGAGATGAAATTGACTACTGCTACTTTTTTTAGTGATGAATACAATTGAATGGAGTAATAAATACTCTCCCCGTCCCAAAACCTTTGTCCAGTTTGACTTTTTTTAGTCAAATTTTACAAACTTTAATCATCAATTTCTCTGATTTTGTATTATATATTACTCCGTAATATAGTAGAACAAATTTTTGAAAGTTTTAAACAAGTTAAATATATCAAAATTATTTTTAAACTAACATACATTAAATCTCAATGTCTGTCTAGTTTAACTCAAAAAAGTCAAATTGAACGAGTACTCTGGGACAGAATAGTATAAGGGTCCGTTTGGTATACGGAATTGGTGGAATTGGAATTTAATTGGAATTGGGATTCCATGAGATTCAATTCTATATAATTGAATTCACCCATTTCAATTCATTTGTTGCACTATCAATTCCAAATCCACATAATATTTGTATTACCAAACACCAGAATTGGAATTGAAGTCCTCAATTCCAATTCCATAAATTGAATTCCTTGTACCAAACGGGGCCTAACAAATTACAAGATAATAGGAACAATATCTAGGAGATTCTAATGATTATCCTTTACACCCTCCACAGTCCACATTCTTGGAAACATACATAAAGGGGGGGGGGGGCAGGAAACCAAGCTAACTTTTAGGACTTTACCTTGGGTTTTGGGTATTCCCTTATTGTGAAGATCCAAGCCCTTAATCCAACAACCCACCCCACCCCCAATAATACTGACTAATTTAATTGGGATTCTTGATTCCAAGCTTCCCTCCATCTGTGGGAGAAATTATCTTTTCCTCTTGTTTTTTAGGTTGTCCTAAAATGATCTCATTTTCTTTTCAAGGAAGAAAGAACTACTCCATAGATGGGTTGTATTGAATTCTCATGATTACCACTTACCACAGAGAAATTTAGAAGTTAGTTGGACTCCCCCCATCTTCTTCTTAATCACAGTCTCCTCAGCCAGCTAAGGAATTTGAGAAGCTAGTTGGAGTCTCAATCTCTTAACAAACCCAATAACTATGCAATTGAGCAGTCCTACACTAAACAAGTAAAGAAATTAGAGATAAAATAGATGTACTCAGTACTTTAGAACATATAGTGGTGAAAAAATGTTACCTTTGCATATCTTGGAGAATAATGGTAAATGGTGCAGCAATGTGATGCCACTGAACGGGCCTGAAAGGCAATTACCAGGCTGGGTTTCTTGGCATAAAGAAGTTATGAAGGTCGCGCCAGTTATGTATCATTTGTCCAAATCAGAAAGAACTATAGTCTTGTTCAAGTCACAACATCAATCCAACTATGGCCGATATCTTTCTTTAGCCCCTTTCCACTGACGAATTCCCTGAGCTCCTCAATCTCGCTCCACATACTGTTCCTGGCATATAAGTTTGACAGTAGAACATATATCCCATCGTTATGAGGATCCAATTCGATTGCTCTCTGAGCTGCAAATTTACCCAGTTCGACATTCCCACATTCTATGCAGGCATTGAGCAATGCTCCCCATGTGGAAACTGTGAAACTCATGTTTCCCTTCTCTACAAATTTCCATGCCTTCTCCAACTCCCCAGAACGACAAAGCAAGTCGATCACACAGTTGTAGTGCTCTGGACCATGTTCCAGTCCATAATCACCAGCCATTGATTCAAAATACTCCATCCCAAGACACACTTGGCCTGTGTGGCTACAAGCTGAGATCACAGTCAAAAATGCCACACCGTCCGGTTTAATTCCCTGGGTTACCATTTCTCTAAACAGTGTGATCACTTGTTCGTAATTCCCGTTGCGTCCCAGTACGCCCAGCATTGAAGTCCATAGAACAAGATCTCTCTTTCTTACGACTCCCATGTCAAAGACTCGCCTAGCCTTCTCTAGAAGCCCGCATTTTCCATACATTTCAATCAACAAGCTTTGAAGAAATACATCGCTTTCAAAATCAGGGATTTTGCGAATGCCACACCCATGGACCTGCATTCCCAATCCAACAGCAGAAATCCCAGCACAAGCGCGCAATACAGATGAAAAGGTGAAATTATCAAACCCCAGATTTAAAGACGGTAGCTTCCTGGCCAATTCAAGCGCTTCATCCCACATTTTAGACTCAGTGTAGCCTGATATCAGCGCATTAGCGCACACACTATTTCTAATGGGAATTTCTTCGAACAATAAAGCTGCACTGTCCACCCATTGCAATTTTGCATAGAAGTCGATCAGAGCACAGCCCACATACACGCTAGAAAACCAACCCAATTTTTCAGTAAAGGCGTGAGCTTTCCGGCCAAATTCAAGGTTTCGGAGGGAGGAAGCAGATGTCACGGAACTACACAACGCGTACGAGTCTATGCAGACACCATTAGAATGCATGAAAGAAAATGCTTGTAAAGCGAGAGAATAGAACCCGCTTTCACAGAATCCGGAGATGATGGAGTTGAAGAGCAAGGGGTTTCTGGGATTGAGGGATGACAAAAGATCTCTTAAGGTCCGGCGGAGGAGGAGGTTGTTGGATTGAGGAAGAAGGCATGTGGTGTGGGCAAATATGATCTTGGTCTGGAGAGTGGGAGTGAGGGAGAGAAGCCCTGTGATGATCAAGTGGCCATGAATCGCCTTAACAGCTCTCAGATTCTTTGTTCTAGTAACTTGATCCAAGACTTGAGTCACGCAATGGGTCTTTGATCCAGGTTGAAGAAGTGCTTCAATCGTCATAATTGGCTGCACACAAATGGAAGAAATTCAAACTCCAGTTTCACTAGCAAATTAATTTATAATTAATGTCTCAATTTGATTTTTTTGGTCAAATTATGTATGACTATAATGTAATTTTTTTATGTAGTTTTTATATTTCACATTTTTATAGCATTTATGTATTCAAAGTGTATTTAATTCATGGCTTTCATGCTCAAAGAGTATCCAATTTTCCAACATATCTGATGGAGCCAAAGATTCTGTATTCTTTGGCTTTGGGGTATGATGAAATAACACAAAATGGCTCTTTAAATTGTTTGTGCTTCTTTTAACACTTTAGTCAATGCAACTTTTGATACTCATCTTGGATCGTCCCGAAACAGCTGTTCTATGTTTTAAACATAAAGGTCAAGTTGCGCACGTGATTACCTATGGTGCTTGAGCCAAGGGTCTCTTTGGAGACCGGCTCTCTACTTTTGAGACGGGATAAAGTCTACGTACACACACCCTCCTCATACCCTACTTTTGTGGGATTCAATTGAGTTGTTGCTCAAAGAGTATCACAATTTGACTAAAGAGTCAAACTAAGACAATACGTTTGAGATGAATAGAGTATTTTCTATATTTTTCTCACTTAAAACTTTCAATCCATATAACTATATTAGTACGTCTAATTTTTAGTAAAGACTAAACTAGCCAATAAACAGTTTCAGATCATTGTAGACCGTGGACGACAAAAGCATTTCCATCGAGAAAATAAATCAAAAGAGATAAGAAATACAGTATGAAGAATAGAAATAATGTTTTGGTCGTGTAACTTACTAGTATTACACCCATGCAATGCACGGAAATATATTGGCTACAAAATTAGAGATATTCATAATAAATTGAAATTATTGATCTTTAGATTTAAAAAGGTATAAAATCTTAAAATATACGGAATAAATTGTAGTTTAATGAAACAAATACTCCCTCCGTCCCCATGTATTTGTCCACATTTGACTTTTGTAACTGTTCATCTAAGCACTTTGACTCATCAAATTCTCTCAATGTGTAAGCCTAAATATAGTCATGTGTGATCTTGTTTGATTTGTCTTAACATATAGATTATTAATATATAATTTTTATAATTTTTTAATATACAAATTACAAGATAAAATGGATTAAAGAAGTACATTGGATGGTGTGTAAAAATGAAAGTGGACAAATACAGGGGGACGGAGGGAGTATATAACATCGTCCAATAGTAAGATAATATATGTATATCGACATGAATTGCTAACTATTGTCATCTCATAGCATACATGAATGCATATTTTATTAATCACAAAATTTTTCACTCTTATTTATGGGTGTTGAAATTCTAATGTGACAATAACTACAACACCTTAGAATCCTTAGATTTGTTATTATTTTTGAAAAATAAATGCGTACAATTAAATTCTCAAAATCCATAGAGTAACCCAATAACGACTAAAGGTATTAGCTATTTCATCCGAGGAGTCATAGACACATGTCTTCTTCCCCCCAAAAAAAAGAATACAAAGTGGAGTAATTGTTACACATAGTGTTCAAAGTATATAATCACTATATTCAGGTCCCGTTTGGTACACGGAATTCAAACTATGGAATTGGAATTGAGGACTTCAATTCCAATTCTTGCGTTTGGTAGCACAAAATTATGTGGATTTGAAATTGGTAGTGCAAAAAATGAATTGGAATTGGTGAATTCAATTCTATGGAATTGAATCCCATGGAATTTAAATTCCAATTCAATTCCAATTCTATCAATTCCATGTACCAAACGGACCCTCAAAATCTACAAACTAATATAGTAATATGTCCTTTTTAATTAAGTAGAGATATTATAGGTGTACACAAAAATGTTTAGCATTTATGAATCTCAAATAGCTTCCAATTAAATCTTTTACCACCTTGCCAGTCATGCCCGGGCAAATTCTTAGCAGGTCACCACAATTTAGGAAAATTTAGGTCCAGTGTTGTTTTCTTACTTGAATGCTTTCATTTGACTTGAGACTACGTAGTTGAAAACAATTGGCCTTAGCATGTTCAAGGAAAAGATGCCCTATATGCCCAACAAATAGGGTACTAAATACAAAGGTGGAACGCCCACCCTGGGCACCCCCACACCCCAGCTCGACAAAGTAGTGAAGAGAGTAAATCATTATATAATCATAGTCTCTTCTTAAGAGAGATTGTCCCGTGCCCGGTGCACACAAGGAGCTATCACATTGAACAAAAAACTAACCTTAGAATTGTAGATTTCAAATAACATTCAACTAACCTTAGAATTGTAGATTCCAAACTGGTTGGAAATTTTTACAGGAGATGAGAATCGCACTATATGCTGCATACAAATTAAAAAGATGATATCTGAGCATTTACTACAGAAGAAGCAGAATGAAAACAACAATAACTTAACCACGATTTGATAATAATAAAAACATTTTAATCAAATTTGCAAAGAATAAGAGAAATATGATATTTTGAGAATGATTAAATACCCTGAATCGAGGTCATGTTTGGATAATCATCAACCTCTGCGCCGGATCTGAAGACCAAAGAAGAATACGCTGAAGAAGAAGACATGTGAAGGATGGGATTACATAAGATCTACCGATTGAAGTTAAGGCATATACCAGATCGGTTATGGGAAGAAATTCCCAATCGGTTGTAGGGAGAGTTCCCCTACAACTAACGACCTTACGGCGCTAGGGTTGAGCGCGGAAAAAACGATGGAGTCTAACAGTATAATTTGATACGGAGTATTTTAACATGAATGGATCAAATTCCAATAAGAAAAAATAATAAAAAATGAATAAATTAAAAAGAACATGGCTTAATCTATCTCATAATTATCTTCATTTGTCTTTATATGGTCTTTAATAATCATTAATATCTCTAATTATATATAATTTTGTATTATAAAAAAAGATATTTTTGAAACTCATTTCAAATTGAATCTATTGAAATTAAGTTTATATCATAACTCAATACTTTTTTCTATATTTTATGGTCAAAGTTAGAAGCGTTAAACCAATAAAGAAACAATAAGATAATTCAAAAATGGAGGGACTAAAAACGTGGAATGAGACACGCTAACGTGACACATTCAACCAATCAAAATAATTCTAGTCAAAACATGACATGTGAGTGTAGTGACAAGTTCTGTCATGTCAAATTATCACTTTCGTCTTTTTTTTTCATCTTTTGAAGTATTTTAGTTAATAAAAGTTATTCTTATCATTTATTTTATCAAAAAAAAAAATCTACTACCTCCATAAAAAGTCTATTTCTTTCTTATGAGTGTGGATAATTTAGTAGTCCCTGCGTCCCTTATGGGCATAACTTATACTCAGCCCAAATATTCGAAAAGTGACGGGTCAGAATATGGTTGGTCAATATTTTTGTAGTACTTGGAGAGACGTAGGAACCGCTGAGAGAAGTGACTGGTCATGTCTTCCCAAAAAGTGACTAGTTATATTTGGTGCATGGCCATATTTGCATGGTCACAAATGGATGGTGTGCATTGGAGATGACCGGTCATGTTTGGTACATTGTCATATTTTTGAATGGTCATGTTTATGCATGGTCGTTACAGGAGACCATGTGAAGGATAATTTCTCGGATTGGCCCGGTCTGATTTCAGGGGTTTAGACAATGGACACAGCGCTAGGCAATGACACATACGGTGCCATCCTGGTATTTTACCCCGTCGTCTTCCGGACTTAGGCTCCGTTACGTTCAACTTATTTTTTCTGATCTGATCTGATTCTAATAAGTTCTGATCTGATCTGGTCTGATCTGGTCTGATCTGATCTGATTGGATCTGATCTGATCGGATCTGATCTGATCTGATCTGATCTGATTGGATCTGATCTGATCTGATTGGATCTGATCTGATCTAATTAGATCTGATCTGATCTGATCTGGTCTGATCTGATTAATTATCATTTAATTTGAAATTTCAAATCAATAATTTAATTTGACTTTATAATAACGTTTGAAAATTGCAATGATAATTTATATTATAATATAATTAATATTTTTTATTTAATGATTATTTTTTAATAAAATAAAAATAGTTAATTAATATATTAGAATAATCATTCATATTATAATGTAATAATATTTTTTTATTTTAGGATTATATTTTTGTAAAATTAGAATTATACATTAGAATAAATATTGAATTTAGATATACATTAAAAAGTAATTAAATTTAGATAATCAATATATAGAAGAGATAATATTTTTATTAAAATATCTCATCCTTATAAAAGATCAAAAGTTTAAAAACTTAAATTACAAGTAGCAATAAAAATATATTTTAAAAGTAGAATTAGATTGACATTGTCAATGTATTTTAAAACTAATTTTTCCGACGTCTAATAATTAAAGATTACTTTCTCAGTTTTCTATTTAACCTATTTCTAAAGTTTATTCTTTTTCATTTTTAAGAACAATACTAATAATGATGATGGTGGTGATGATGATGATGATGATGATAATAATAATAATAATAATAATAATAATAATAATAATAATAATAATTTTGATGGGATCTGATTTTAATAAGTCCTGATCTGATCTGATTGGATCTGATCTGACCTGATTGGATCTGATCTGATCTGATCTGATCTGATCTGGTCTGATTTTAATAAGAATAAGAAAAAATAAGAAAAAATAAGTTGAATGGAACGGGGCCTTAATGGTGTAGCGAGAATCGCGCTATTGAATGACGTAATGGAGAGCGAGATTGGTGCCCATTAATAGGTAGGACAAGGAGCAATGAGTCAATAGCTTGTTTCCTTATGTAGATGTTGATTGGCGCTAGACTCCGCCTGAGTTAGGACTTGTTACCTTAATTAACCTTTTCCACTCTATATAAATAGATTGTAAGAAATGGAGAAGGAGACATTCAATCATTCATACACACATTTATATATACACTCTTGAGACAAAATATAAGTTCGGACACATGAATTCTTCCCTGGTATAGGTTATTCTCGTGTTCTTATTTTCTGGGTTGTTTGGCTTACCTAATAGCGTTCGTTTTAACCAGGTCACTCATGGTCAAACCTACCCAGTCATATTTACACCACCAGTCTCTAAAAAATTGTCACAATTTGACTTTTTTGGTCAAACTATGACATCTTTTAACCGTGAATTATGGAAAATAGTAAAATCAGAGTTATTTTAATATACAAGTTTGAAGTATCAATTTTTATAATATTTATTTCTTTTAAATTATACTACGTATTTAATTTGTGGTCAAAGAGTGTCACAGTTTGATCAAAAAATTCAAAATGTGACAATCTATTAGGGATGAAGAAAGTATTAAAATAAAAAAATAGACGTGATTCAAAATTATATCTAGAATTTTAAAAAATACGGAGTAAAAGATAATAATAATAACAATTTTAATTTTGTTAAGTGAATAATACTAAAGTGGACTTCGTAGTAAATAAACAAAAACGATCAAGATATGATGGCTAATGTAAGACTTTCACATCTTCCACATGCAATAACAATATTGGTCCAATTTGGAGAATCAATAAGCGGCGGCATTCTTGAAGAATTTAAACACGTTAAGCAACTTTTTTTTGTTAAATATTCGTATAATAACATCCTAAATAAAAATCATATACTCCGTATATAATAAGGAAATCTCAAATAAGTTCATACTATTTTACTCATACAATATTCTTTTTTCTTTAGTTGATATAATTTATGATCTTTGATTAAAATAATTTTCAATTCAATTTGTTTAAAAACTAATGTAAGTATACATTTTTCTAAGAATATTTGTGATTTGTCCAATTTGGACATTTTCTAATCAATTGGAATCCACTTTTAATCTATAATCTATAATTAAATAAAAACATATGATATGTATTAAATACGGAGTATATAACAATATTTTGAAAATATTCGCAAGGTAAATCTAATTAATTTCACGGAATTGAGGACAAAATTGTTGGCATCTTTACTCTGACATGAATTAGATATTTGTTTTTTTCTAATGCTAATATCAAATTCTTTATGTATCCTTTTGTTGAAACTCGGTCGCCCAAGTGCATCGCGTGCATAGTTTTAAAAACCAGACCGGACCAGCCAGTTCGGACCGTGAACCGGCGAACCGGTGGTCCAACCGGTCCGGTCCGGCCTATTGGACCTGCTTCGAAACAACCCGAACCGGTTTGAACTGGGCGGTCGGACCGGTCCGCCCAGTTTTTTTTTTTTTTTTTTTTTGCTGATTTTTTCCAAAACATGCCCCCATGAGGGTTTGAACCCAAGACCTCTTAGACATTTGGTTGAGCTCCTAACCATCCAAGCAATACTGCTTTTTGTTACAAGTTCACATAATCTTTTATAATAAATTCCTTTCTAATTTTAAAATGAGAATTTAAACCATAAATAACAAGTTTGTAAAATTTGTGATCTTTCTATTTATGAACGTAGCATTGCTTGTGTATAAATGAGTAAATTACGGGCGAGTTCGTGGAATTAAGAATGTGAAATTTGCACTAAATAGGACTAAAACATAATGACTTTCCTAATCTAGGACTTAAACTTTTTTATTTCCTAAATAGGACTTAATAATGTCTTCGTGGAAGGAATAATACCCAGCAATGATAGACATTACTTGAATAATGACTAAAGAATAATGACCAAATGTCCTACATTCAGAAATAAAAACATATGGTCCTATTTTGGAAAAGTCATTATGTCTTAGTCGTATGTAGGTAAATTACTCATTAAGAATTGGCTTTAATTCATACCATCTCTTAATTAATTGTCAACAGATTTGCCCTAACTGCGGTGGGCAGACTTTTTTTCAAAGGAAGCATGAGTAATCGTGACATGCGCATGACACCACGCTATTCATTTTGGAGTTAGCTTCACTCTTTATTAAGAATAAAGCTAAAGTATTATATTCCCTCTTAATTTAAGTTACATCTTTGCTATTTGCCATGTTAAATTTTAATCTCTTTAATTACTCATTTTCGTTGTATATTTGATAAGATAATAAATTAAAATCAGTTCTAATTTTGTAGAATTTTTAATGTAATTTTTTAAATACTTGGTCCGTCCTTGAGTGTTTGTCTACTTTTGACTTTTGGAACTATTATTTAAGCACTTTGACTCATCAAATTCTCTCAATGTGTAAGTCTAAAAATAGTCATGTATGATTATTAATATATAATTTTGTTTGATTCGTCTTAACATATAGATTATTAATATACTCCCTCCGTCCCCCTAAGATTTTCTCGTTTTGACTTTTTGCGGTTTTTAAGGAGAGTTGAAAAAAGGTGAAAATTTACCAAAATACCTTTAATGAAAATGGGTGGGGTGTATTAAATAAGGGGAAAAAGGTATAATAAATAAAGTAAGTGGGGGTAGTTGTGGTATTTTAATTATTAAAAAAGGTAATGAGAAGATCTATGTGGGACAAATAAAAAGGGCTAATGGGAACATCTATGGGGGACGGAGGGAGTATAATTTTTATAATTTTTTAATATACAAATTACAAGATAAAATGGATTAAAGAAGTGCATTAGATGGTGTGCAAAAATGAAAGTGGACAAAGACTCAGGGACGGATGGAGTATATAAATTTCATCCCAGTTCATGAGATATTGTCTAGTAATGTCATGATATGATTCCGGGAGTCCTACGATGCCCCGTTCATAAAGTTGACGATTCTTACCCTTTCTACTGAACCCGAACCTGCCCCTCTCCCCCTTCAGTTACCTCATCAAAGTTTATTTGACTTTGGGGTCAAAATTTTGACTCCAAAGTCAAATAAACTTGGAGAGTGCAGTTGAAGGGTGTGGGGGTGAGATCGGATCGGGGAGGATGGGGGGGGGGTTACGTGGAGTTAGGAGGATAAGAATTGTCAATTTTACGAACGAGACACTGTACGACCTCCAGCTCATCCCATGATATTGCCAAACAATGTCACATGAACGGAAGGAGTAATATCTTGGATTACTCATGACTCCAAATTTTGCACATACAATCATTATTGTGTGAGATAGACAATAAAAAATTTCAACAATGCTATGGGTACACAAAAAATCTACCCCAGGTTGTATCTAAAGAAATGCGCCGATATTTTAACGATTCACACGGGTAGAAAATGTTAGTTCAATTAAGAAAAATTGTACTGACATCATTATACTAGCACAAAAAGTCGGTGCTTGTCTTTGGGGTATATAAAATAAGGTACAAATTTTAATGTACAAATAGCTTAATCCTAACCATCTATGTGGATTGTGCAAAAAATTAGAATCATCAATCATGGATAACTCCAAAATTTTGAGATTATCCTAACATGGCCCCTTAATTATAATACTCTCAATATTAAAGTCCATTATATTATCCGGTCATCAATTTTTTTCCATTAATTATTTTATCAAAATAATACTTATAATTATGTACGGATAAGAACATTTTCTTGGATACTCATAAATTAGGTAAACCACCAATTTTTAGATACTATTTTGAGTAAATTTTATATTTTAAAAATCACTTATCTTATTTTGACAACAAAAAATAATGTCATAATATAATAACACCTTCAATTAGAATATCTCCGAGGCTTCGATCATAAAATTGATGGTTACTACCTTCCCTAATCCCTGGTAAACTCCCCACCCGACCCGCCTTGAATCAAGGGTATATTCAATACAGAAGTGAATATTAATTAATAATTAAAATAATTTTAAAAATGATAAAATTTTTTACGTTATTCAGAATGTGACACTAATATGAAGCAGAGAGAGTATGTAATTGAAGATGAGCAATGAATGAATGATCAGAGGATTCAGAGCTCAATCAACAATTATGGCAGAAAGCTCACAAATCCAACCCAAACAAGAATCAAGTGGTACCCTTCTTGTAATAGCAGCACGGGAGTGACAGACAAGAAATAAGGGGTAGACCATGACTGGAGCAAGTTTTAAGCCTTGGTCAAATAATGGCGATCATACTCAATCGAAAACTCTTAAAATTTTAAAGACATTTTGAAATCTTGAATAATATTTATTAACTTCTAAAAATAAAAAAAAATATTATAGAATTTGGATTGAATAAACCCTCGTAAATTAAGTTGAACTTCTCCACTTTCTTGAGTGGTACGAAGCCCACACCACAGGAATGAAAGTAGACCCAGGTTCGAACTACAACGGAAGTGGAAATGACGATTCTTTGCCCGTCATTAAGTAGAGAAAAAAATATGAACAAATATTACATTATTATAGAGTCAATTGTACTAAAAAACTAAATAAAGTTTCATTTTTGAATCATTATTCAAGTAAACTAAAATTAATTTGAGAATTTTTTTCTAATTTAATAATCACAATTAGTTATTACTCTCTTCGTCTATAAAAGATTGCCACAATTTGAATCATAGAAAAAGTATAGAGTTATTTAGTTACTTCCTTCGTCCGAAAATATTCTTCCCACTTTCCTTTTTGGTTCGTCCGGAAATATTCTTCTCATTTCTTTTTTAGTATACTTTTTAAGGATAAATATCAATAATACCCTTCTATTTTATAACAAATCTACTTTTTTAGTACTTTTTTAATAATAAAAGGAGATTTAAAAGTTTATAGTATGTGCATTTTTGAAAATTTTGTATTTTTTTTACTATTCCTTAATAAGCGTGCCAAGTCAACACGGAAGAATATTTCCGGACGGAGGGAGTATAATGTAAATTTAGTAAAATTAAGTTTATTTTAAAATATAATTTTAGAATATAAAATTTTTAAAATGCTCAATTATTTTAAATTATATTTATTTTATGGTCAAAGAGTGTCATAATTTAAACAAAAAAATCAAACTGTGTCAATCTTTTATGGGGAGAAAGAATATTTTTTTGAAGGATAGATATGGTCAACTCATTCCAGCAGTATATAAACAGATCCACCCCTTCCACTCTTTCTGCATATCTCTATCTTCTCTGTTCAACGATTGATTCATTCACTACCTTTCTTGTCTGCGTGGAGATAATTACACTTTGATCCTTCTCTAATGGCCACCAAAGTTTACATTGTGTACGATTCTCTCTCTCTATATATCTATCTATGTACATATATATACACGTTTGCACTGTGATTTTATATTAATTATTATTTGCAATTTGGCTATTTCATGATTTGGGGTGGAGGGGTTAAAAACCCTGTTTTTTGATTTTAGGTTAAAGTTTTTTTTAAAAAATCTCATTTCATAGGATCAGATTGATTGTTTGAGCTCAATCAGTTCAGTTGTCTCTTATACCCATGTTTAGATTTAGGGTTTCAATCTTTAAAGGTTGATCTGATAGATACGTATGAGTCATGAAATGGCCTTATTGATCATCAATGGTGGCTAGTTGAATCATACCAATATAGCCCCAAATTATTTGCCCTAATTCGACTATTATGCTTACTTTGACTAGAAATTAAATATAATTTTAAATAAATAGACGTTATAAAATTTTGATATATCAAAACTACATATTGAAATGAACCCAATTATACAAAATTTAGATTATAGTTAAATATACTTTTACTGTAATTTATGGTCAAAGTTAACTAGGACAAATAAACATGGAGTATAAGTTTGTGTGGTTTTTGTTGAGTTTTAAAAAAAGACTTGCTCGGTTTGAGTTTTGGAGGCTCTAATAGGATGTTAAGGTTTGAGATTCAATTAGTAAGGAAGAATTGATTAGACAGGACTTACGACTTTAAGATATCACCGAGCTTGAGCTTAGATAGAAACGTGTGGAGATTTAGAGTAGCCGGATAGACGTTTGACATAGTTTGTAGTTTATGCTTTTGGTATTTTTGCCTCAGGTTGTAGAAAGTTAGAATGTGAAGTTAGAATGTGGTTATGGAAACTAAGCGGGTGTTTTTTTGTGCCTATAAACTATAAAAAATTGCTTATAATAAATTTAGCTAATTTATATGTTAGCTGATGACATGTTTCATATGCAAAAAGTAAGTAGGTCTTACCTACTTATTTTTAAATCTGTTTGTTTGTTTCTCCATTTTGACTTGATTATTCACAAAACTATCACTCACCATTTATGAATATTCTCAAGTGACTTATCTATCATTTATGGAGTAAGTCATTTTACTTACACGAAAGATATTTTGGCTTATAAGCAGCTTATAAGTTAAAAACTGTTTATCAGCAATAAACATATAAACACCGACACAGAGAAACACCTCCTAAAACATGTGAGAACAACACCTGAAATATATCAGGTACTACTCCACTTATGGGCATGTTGAGAAGCTGGCACATGAGATTAAGAAGGGAGCAGACTCTGTTGAAGGTGTAGAGGCCAAGCTCTTTCAGGTCACTACTAAATACACTTATCATGACTTTTCAAAAGTAAATTGACTAAAGATTTGACATTAATCTCTCATCTTATGTATGATGAATGGAACAGGTACCGGAAACACTTTCTGACGAGGTTCTTGCGAAACTGGGAGGCCCACCAAAGAGTGATGTCCCAATCATATCCCCTCACGACCTCCCGGAAGCCGATGGCTTCGTCTTTGGCTTCCCCACAAGGTTTGGGATGATGGCTGCACAATTCAAGGCCTTTCTTGACGCAACCGGTGGCCTTTGGAGGACCCAGGCTTTAGCTGGCAAGCCCGCCGGTCTCTTCTACAGCACCGGATCTCAGGGAGGTGGCCAAGAGACTACCGCGTTAGTTCCTCTCTCCTCTACCGGTTTACATTTTGACATGAACAGTTTACGCCTTAACATTTATCTTGAGTCTCTAACCACATGTTTGAGTTTTTAGTTGAGCTGTTTCTTGAATCTTGGGAAAAAAGACCAAACTAGGAGTAAAACACAGATAAAACTCCTTGGTTCCCATGACATTGGTTGGATGACCCGAGGGCGCTCCGGTGTCCCGTTTGTAAAATTGATGGTTCTTATCCCTCTTAACCCCCGGTAAACCTCCCACCCCGCCCTGACCCAAACACCCCCACCCCCTTCAATTGCACCCCACAAGTCAATTTTGACTTTGGAGTCAAATTTTGACTCAAAAGTCAAAATCGACTTGTGGGGTGCAATTGAAGAGGGTGGGGGGTGTGTTCGGGTCAAGGCGGGGGGTTTACCGGAGGGGTAGGAACCGTCAATTTTACGAATGGGACACCGGAGCGCCTCCGGATCATCCCATCCCATGACATTTGGAATGGGAACCTTCCCCCAGATAAAATATCAAAACAGGAGCTTCATGTTTTTATTTTTTCAAAATAAGAGTTATAATGCCAATAATATCAACGTATAATACCAAAAAATACTATGAATGCCAATCTATAGTGTGTCACATTGTCACGGTGCAGATTCTTATCTTGGGGTTAAAAACATGGAACTCTTCTGTTAATTCTTCTCTATGTATTACTCCTATTTTAGGCGATTTCTTTTCTTTCTTTCGGTGTCCTTAACGGCGACAATTGCGCAGGCTAACAGCAATAACACAGTTGGTTCACCACGGGATGATCTTCGTGCCAATCGGGTACACTTTTGGAGCGGGCATGTTTGAAATGGAAAAGGTGAAGGGCGGGAGCCCTTACGGTGCAGGGACATATGCAGGGGATGGGTCCCGCCAGCCGAGCGATGTCGAGCTCGAACTAGCCTTCCACCAGGGGAAATACATTGCTGCCATCACAAAGAAGCTTAAAGCTGGTTCTTCATCCTAAGCCATAACTCTCTCTCTATAAATATAAATTTACACTATACTTTGCAATATTTCAAAGAATAAGAAGCATGCCCATATACCCATACACTTTTTTTATTTCATAGAAGTAAATTGTTTTGTTTTGTTTCTGAATGGTTATTGTATTTTCTTGGTGTGGCATTTGGTTTGTTGGTGGCTTTGAGTGGGCTTTTATGAATATATAGACATGAATACGTTTGGTTATCTCACAATATAGAAAGGGCTGTTCTCTTAATACTATATAGAATGAACATTTGATTGAACTGGCCATTTGTAGCCCTTGCCAAACAGTCCCTTAACAGTTCCATGGACTGACATTATGGGTCTGTTTGAGAATAGCGTTAGCGTTTTAAATAAAATTTTAACGGCATAGATTATTTTGAAAGCGCTAACGCTAAACGCTGCTTGCAGATAGTCTTTTCAAAATGTCAAATCAGACAAGCTTAGAATGTTTTAGACATACACAGATAGTAATTACTCCGGTATCTTTCTTGCACAAACAATCGCGGTTTGTGTAAATTTGTGAAATAAATTTTGGCAAATTCTGGTGTACAAATATAGTCTCTATTAAAATAGTCTCAATTAGAGTTATAAATGTACTACTCGCACTCGGTGTTATAAAATGTAATTTATATTAAATTCATAATTAAATTTTGCCCATAGAGTCATTGGGAAAGTAGCCCAGACTAACTAACGATAGCAATACAAGTAGCCCAATAATGCCAATATTTACTCTGTATATTTTTTAAAATTAGACCAATGCTTATTATAAGTTCTATTTTGGCATTATTTCGTATTATATGTTATATTTTGGCATAAGAATATTAAAATTTCTATTATGGTACATACGACTCATATTTTAGTCCTACTATTTTAGTCCTAATAATTAGATAGTTCTATTTTAGTCATTTGATAAAATCATATTGAGTCTAATTTTATCATCTCTTATTTTATACAAGTAGGTTTCTTGATGTAATATCTAAACTTGTAATCTCTCCGTCCCAGAGTATTTGTTCAGTTTGACTTTTTCGAGTCAAACTGGATAAACTTTGAGCTTCAATTAAATAAAAATCGTAATGTATTTTAACATAAAAATAACTTTGTTAGATTTATCGTGTTGAGAACTTTCAAAATTGTATTTCATTATGCTAATATGCAATATAAATTGAGAGTAATTGAAGTTCAAAGTTTGTCTAGTTTGACGCGAAAAAGTCAAACTAGACAAATACACTATGACAGAGGTAGTTCACTTTTATAAATTATTGCATGTGAACGTCAAGCCTAGTGGAACAATAGTGATGGGTGTATTTCACCCATGACCGGTCAAGGGTCCGGATCCGAGAGTTGACCGGTCAAAGAAGTTAAACTTGAAAGGGAGATCTGAGTCGTCAGCAAAGGGATTGCTGGTTGACCAGAAAGTCGACCGCTACACTTCGGTCTAGTTATACCGGTCAAACTATTCCATCGCCTAAATTCATCCTCCGAAGTTAGCCAAGCCAACCCTCAAAGATCACCCGGTCTAGTTTCCGAAGATCGGAGAGTGTCGGCAGAAAGAATCCAAGAGGACTTGGACTGTAGTGGTTGGAATTGCAGAGATGCCGAAAGGAACATTTCCAAGCCAGAACACGACAAAGGTGCAGCCTCCTACGCAAGATGACAAGGCAGAGCCAGTCAGGTCACCCCACACCAGCAACATGCCCCCACGTGGGCGCACGTGGTCCTGCCCCCCTAGCTAGTATATATACCACTTGTAACCCTCGAAGAAGGGGATCCGAATTCACTCTCTCTAAACTCCCTTGTAAAAGTGACCGTGCATTCCCTGTTTAAATACAATACAATTCGGACTACAGGTGTTCCACCTAAAGTCCTACCGGTCATTTTGGGTGTTTTTACTTTCTTTACTTTACTGAATCTAACCAACTATTCTAGACCCGGTCTAGTATAGTTTGACCGGTCAAGTAATTTACACCATCATTTTTGGCGCCATCCGTGGGACCGTTAAGGTTTTTCCTCTTCTAAACACAAACCTACCCACAAAAACACCACTCAAAATGTCTTCAAGCCAGCAAATCAACGCAACTCCCGCTCAGGTGCAAGCCATCACTGAAGGTACCAGCATCCCCATGGTTGCTACCCTGCCAGCCATCTCAGCTCCGGTTTTGCCGTTGGGACTAAGCTCAGTCCCGACACCTAGCATGGTCAGCCCACTCACGGCCCCCATCCCTTCCGCTGGGCCAAGGGTCACCTTTCCACCAAGCATGACTCAGTTCATGAATGACCCGGCGAACCTGCAAGCCATCCAAGGCTTTGGCCAGGTCATGGCCATGTGCCAGCAGAACGGGGGGATGCCTTTTCTCCCTGGTATGTTCCCGTTCGCCCTTCCAGGAGCGGGAACGATGCCCCTACAAACTCCGATGGCAGTGACGCCATTCCAAACGCCGATTCCGCAGCCATCACCTTTCCAGCCGCAGCTGGTCAGCGCTGTGGCCCCCATCAACTTGACGGGTGCGCTCAATGCTGCGGGGCCATCGCGTCCCCCGCAAGGTACGAATCCGCAAATCACTCCTGATGGTCACTGCGTCTCAGTTGAGAGCGGGGATGACGAGTGGGACATCCCGAGGGCCCACAAGAAGAAGAAGGGAAAGGCCATCCAGCCAGCCACTTCCCGAAACTCCGCCTTCGAAAGGCTGGGGGATAGGGAAGAGGGCCAGAGAAAATCAGCCAAGCTGAGGCTGGGGCAAAGCGTCGCCCATGTCAGCGCGTTTGCCCGGTTGGGCGAGATGAGGGAGGCCGAGCCTGCCCGCACCCAACGCTCCCGGTCGAACCGGCAAGAGCCAGCCAGGACGAGGGCCTCTCGTCAAGAGGAGGAAGCAGAAAGCCAGCCCAGGGCACCGGTGGCTAATCGGTTGACCGTCCCCAACGACCGCGTCCAGCAGATGGAGGCAAAGTTGGAGAGGCTGGAAAAGAAAGTCGAGGAGAAGAGTGACCGGGACAAACCTCTCGCGGGCTCCCCGTTCACCGCAAGAGTCCATCTGACACCTTTCCCGCGAAAGGTTAAGATAGACGCCCCAAGGTTCACCGGTAAAGAGGACCCAGAAATCCACCTGGACTCCTTCAACCAGAGTGCAACCATGAACGGTTGCACAGATGAAGAAAAGTGCCCCCTTTTCTTCCAGACCTTAGGGAATCGAGCCACTGAATGGTTCAACAAACTTCGCCCGGGAAGTATTGACTCGTTCAGTGACTTGGCCTCGAAGTTCAAGGCCAAGTTCCAGGAGAACTGTACAAAGAGGAAGAAATTCACCTATCTTAGTACAGCCGGGCAGAGGGAGCCTGAGAACCTCACCCAATTCCTTACCCAGTGGAAGGAAGAGGTAGACAAGGTTGAGGAAATGGATGACAAGACAGTGTTGTCCCTCCTCCTGAATGGTTTGCGAGCCGGGGAACTTTACAAGGAGTTCTGCCGAAAACCCCCGGCCACGTATCAGGAAGCCTACCACACTGCATGGGAGTTCGCCGAGGCAGAAACCCAACTACGGGCGAAGAAAGAGGCCGAGCATGGTTACAAGCCCAAACCGGTGCAAGTCAAGAAGGAAGAGGCGTCGGGATCCAACCGGCCAAGACACCACTATGACCCGGTCATCCGCATGGTCAACACAGAAGAGTGCCAGGAGATAAGGAAAGCACCGGCTACCTACCCGGTCATTCCTCTGGAAAATACCACCGGGCAAACTGGGCGCCAGTGGTCGGGCACCTATTGCTCATACCACCGGTCAGATTCCCATAACACCTCAGAATGCAAGAGTGTTAAGGGAGTGATCCGGCAGATGATAGATAGCGGGGAACTGGGCAAAGATTATCTACAGAAAGCCCAAGAGAAGAACCACCAATGGGTTAGGCCGGCAACCCAGGAGAACGACCGGGACAAGGACCGGCGGAGGACCAACCGGCCGAGGGAACAACCTCCCCCCGACAAAGAGCATATTGGAATGATCTTCGGCGGACCTGAAGGGGGAGATTCAGCCGCGCAGCGGAAAAACTGGGTCCGCAGCATTTACGTGGGTGAAGTAAGTGCTGAACCGGCCAGGCGCAAATATCCCAGGAGGGAGCCAATAGTCTTCACTGACCGGGACCTCCCTCCTACCGGTGAAGATCACAATGATCCATTGGTCATCACCATGGACATCAATGGGGTGGACGTCGCCCGGGTACTTGTTGACACCGGCAGTAGTGTCAACATCCTCTACCTAGAGACCTTCCAGAAACTCAAGTTGTGTCGAACACAACTTGAGCCCCTCAAAACCCCTCTCTCAGGTTTCACGGGAGATACAGTTGAAGCTGAGGGATCCATAGTTCTACCGGTCGAACTAGGATCAGGCGAAAAGACCGTGTGGAAAAGGATGCGGTTCATTGTTGTGGACATCAAGTGCGTCCACAACGCGATCCTTGGAAGGCCAGGCATCAACAAAGTCGGGGCTGTGATTTCCATGCCCCACCTGTGCATGAAGTTCCACACACCAGGCGGTGTGGGTGAAGCGAGGGGCGACCAAAGGAACGCCCGGGAGTGCTATGCCCGGGCAGTCAAGAAAATGACCAAGGGGGTCAACGTCATCTCCCAAGAAACACCAGGGGAGAGACCCGGGAGAAACTGGAGCCTGAGGCTGAGACGATGGAGATTGAACTTCACCCGGGTGATTCTTCAAGGATGGTCAGAATCGGAGCCAACCTCCCAGAAGATCTCAAGGCGGAGATTACACGGGTACTCCAAGAGTACGCGGGCATATTTGCATGGAGCGTGGCAGATATGCCCGGAATTGACCGCTCAATCATCTGTCACCGGTTGGCAGTGAGGGAGGGAAGTCGACCGGTACGCCAGAAGAAAAGATACCTGGCCAGTGACCGGCGAGACTTCGTCAAGAAGGAGGTGAAAGACCTCCTTAGTGTGGGTCACATCCGGGAAGTCAAGTACCCGGAATGGCTGGCCAACGTGGTCCTGGCTCCCAAGGGGGACACATGGAGAATGTGTGTGGATTACACGGACTTGAACAAGGCGTGTCCGATGGATTCATACCCCCTCCCCAGTCCAGATCAAATGGTGGACGAAACTGCGGGGTGCGAACTCCTAAGTTTCATGGATGCATTCAAGGGCTACCACCAAATCTACATGGCCAAAGAGGATGAGGAGAAAACGTCATTCCTCACCCCCGAAGGAACATACTGCTACCGGGTGATGGCGTTTGGCTTGAAGAACTCGGGGGCAACCTACCAGCGCATGGTTAACGAGCTCTTCAAGCCACTGCTGGGGAAGACCATGGAGGCGTACGTCGACGACATGCTGATCAAAAGCCAGGTATCCCTCAGTCACCCGGCTGATATGCGTGCCACATTTGATATCATGGCAAGATATAACCTCCGGTTGAATCCTAAGAAATGTGTCTTCGCAGTTCGCACCGGGAAGTTCTTGGGATTCATGGTGACCAAGAGAGGAATAGAGCCCAACCCAGAAAAAATACGGGCTATCACTGAAATGCAGGCCCCCACATCTGTGAGGGATGTCCAGAAGTTGACCGGTCGCCTAGCGGCACTCAGCCGGTTCCTTTCCCGGTCAGCTGAGAGGTCCTTGCCTTTCTTCAAAGTCCTGAAGAAGGCCAATACGTTTGCATGGGACGAGGAGTGCCAGAGGGCATTCGAGGAGCTGAAAGAGTACCTAGTGTCAGATATTGTATTGTCTAAACCCCAGCCGGGTGAAACTCTGTATCTGTACCTGGGAATTTCCCCAAATGCTGTAAGCTCTGTTTTAATAAGAGATGATGGGGCACAAAAGCCCATTTATTATGTGAGCAAGGCACTAAACGGAGCAGAAAGTAGATACACGGCGATGGAAAAGACAGCCTACGCGCTTTTCATCTCCGCAAAAAAGTTAACATCCTACTTCCAAGCTCACCCGGTAGAAGTCTTGACTGACCAACCGCTGGGTGCAGTCTTGCGAAATTCAACATCCTCCGGGAGGATGGTGAAATGGGCGATGATGTTAACTCAATTCAACATTGAGTACCGGCCAAGGTCGGCAATCAAGGGGCAGGCCCTTGTGGATTTCCTGGTAGAAATGACCGGTCTAACTCTAGACCCACCGGTCAACAAACCCACTGAGCAATGGTGGGAGATGGCGGTAGACGGGGCAGCTGGCCCTAGAGGATATGGGGGTGGGATCGTGTTTACCACCCCAGAAGGGTTCAAGATCTATCATGCGATCGCCTTCAACTTCAAGCTGACGAACAATGAAGCAGAATACGAAGCTCTGGCTGGAGGGCTCAGACTCGCCCAAGCCCTGAAGATCGACCGGGTCAGTATCAAATCTGATTCCAGTTTGATCGTCGGGCAAGTGACCGGTAACATGGAAGCTAGAGAAGGTCGAATGGCGCAGTACAAGGACCTAATACTTGCCCTGTTGAAAGGCTTCGAGGAATTCAAGATCGCCCAAATCCCCCGGGCGGAAAATGCAGATGCAGACCTTCTCTCAAAGTTGACGCAATATGCCCCCAAGCATGTTTCAAAACTTGCCCGGGTAGAAATTCTTGATCATGCCAGCATTGAAAAATTGGAAGTAGCCGCCATAACAGGAGCAGACCAACCTGACCGGTCAAACTTGGTCGGGGCGGATGACCCCTGGATGTGTGATCTGATGGAATATCTGATGCACGGGACCTTGCCGGAACAAGATGACCGGGCAAGAAAAGTGAAGCTCAGGGCACCCCGGTTCCAAGTCCTTGATGGGAAGCTGTACAAAAGGGCGTTCGGAGGACCCCTCCTGAGATGCCTAACCAACCGGGAGGCTGAACGGGTCATAGCAGAAGTCCATGAAGGTGTATGCGCGGCGCATCAAATGTCCCGCACTCTTTCCCAGCGCATCATCTTGTTGGGGTATTACTGGCCAACAATTGTCCAGGATTGCGAGAGGTACGTCCAGAAGTGCAGAACGTGCCAAGTGTTCTACAAGTACCCCGGTAGGCCGGCGACCTACTATCACCCCGTATCAAACGTCATCCCTTTCGCTAGATTCGGGGTGGATATCATTGGGGCATTCCCAATCGCTCAAGGAAGGAAGAAATTTGTAATCGTGGCCATCGATTACTACACCAAATGGATCGAAGCCGAGGCGTTGGCCAATATCACCACGCAGCAATGCAAGAAATTCATTTGGAAGAACATCATCACGAGGTTTGGAGCCCCCATGAACCTCATCACCGACAATGGCCCACAATTCCGAAATCCGAGATTCACCGAGTACTTGGAGGGCTTCGGAATCAAGCACAACCGCTCTTCGGTGGCGTATCCCCAAGGAAATGGCCAAGTTGAAAACGCCAACCGAACAATTGTGGATGGCCTAAAGAAACGGCTGGGAGAGGCAGGAAACAAGTGGCTGGAAGAACTCCCACGTATCATCTGGGCGTTCCGAGTAACCCCCAGGAGGGCTCATGGGGAAACTCCATTCTCCCTAACCTATGGGTGTGAAGCAAGGCTGCCCATCGAAGCGGAACTCCCAACATTCCGGGAATCAAATTATCAGCCCCAGCAAAATGAGGAAGATCACTTGGCCGAACTCAACTTGGTCGAAGAGCGGAGAATGGCCGCGGAAGTTAAAATGAGCACATATCAACAAGTCGTGAAGAAGTACCACGACAACAAGGTTGGACCACGATACTTTCAAGTCGGCGATGAAGTCCTGCGAAGAAGGGAAGCTAGTAGACCGGGAGACGGAGGAAAGCTGGCCAAAAACTGGGAAGGACCCTACCGGGTGAGAGTTATCATTCGCCCGGGAACCTACCGGTTAGAAACTCTTGATGGTGTACCGGTAGAAAGAACCTGGAATTCCTATCATCTTCGCAAGTTCTACAAATGATTGTAATACTAGGCAAGGCCTACTTTATTATCGATCAAAGCGATGACATTCAATACTCTACATGGTAGCGGCAGAATTGATAGGTCGAACCTATCCTAGGAGGGCTCCCCGGGTGGATCGGATCCACTCGGATAAGCCAACTGAGACACAGGCCCGGACCTGGCACGCTGGTTACTACACCGGTCTTGCTCAGTATAATGGAAAAAATATAAAACCCGGAAGAGGGGCCCGGAAGAGGGTATGCCTGCAAGAGGGCTGGACCTGGAAGAAGGTTCGAACCGTACTTACACGGGCCCATGAGGTTTTACCGGTGTTGGGGAATCAGCCAACGCCGTCAAACTGATTGGGGACTAAAAGATGCCCATTAAAAGAAATAGAAGGGGATCGTCCACCGTGGCGCATCCTATTTCCCCCTTCTCAGGGAAGACTTGAACGGGGGGTGAGCTAAGGCCTTCCCGGGATGGTAGAAATAAAAGGGCCATTAAAAGACTTAATCACCCGGAAGAGGGGGCCCTGGAAGAAGGGTGCATTTGAACCTTGGAGAGGGTTCGAAACCATTCGAACATGGTTAAATCTCCAGTATTCTTACCGGTTAAGGATACTTCAAGAAATTACTAGGTTACAGGTGTTCCATCTACAACCTATCGGTCAAAAAAAAAAAAAAAAAAAATACCCCGGTTGGGTATTGATACAGCAGAACTTCGAAAGTTCCACATGACAAAGCAGTTCACCGGGAAGACCATGGAGAAGGGACCTACCGGTCAAACGGCGCTTCATTTTCAAAACAAGAACGAAGGTGCCCAAAAACCAAAAGGAAGCCTAGCCGGTCAAACATTTTTTCAAATTGGCCGTCAAATTGGAGTTCAACCGGTCAAAGTCACTCGAGCTGAACTTTCAAATAAAGTGATCAAGAAGAACTCGGAAGTTCTACCGGTCTGAAATAATTAGGAAGTAGCCTGATTCATCTACTGGTCAAAGTTTCTACTATGATGGTATTCTAAGAAGCAATAAAGAATAACGATCATGGAGCAAGCAGATATGGAAGATTAACCGGTACGAAAATTAAACATGGCATTCAGACAAAATAAGAAAGTTAAGTGTTTACAAATACACCGGGCATCCCCGGGAAAATAGCAAGTTTTGAAGTGAGGTTTTCAAAATGTGACCGGGCGCAGCCGGGGAGAATTTACTCCAGGGGGAAAGGGGGCTTAGGCTCTTCATCGGGAATGGGGGCCAGACCATATGCTTCAGCGGAGAAGGCCGGGTCGCGTTCCGCCAAGACTGCATGCGTGGCCTCCCGGTCTCTCTTCTGCCCGGACATGAAACCATAAGAGCCGACTTGGGTAATCATTTCTTTTCCGTGCTCTTCCCGGTACAGCAACTTGAAGCCCTCCATTGTCCTCTCCTCAGAAGAGGTGAGCGCCCGGGCAGCTTCCACGATGTTCTCCTCCATCCATTGGCGGGCCTTGCCGGGAAACTCCTTCTCCTTGAGCTCAGCGTCCTCCATGAGCTTCAGGTTCTCCTCCTTCAGCTGGAGGATCTCAGCCTTCGCCTCACCGGCCATCTTAGAAAGGTTTTCCATCTCCTCGAGCTGGCAGGCTGTCAGATACTGGAGTTCCCGGTTATGGGCCTCGGATCTCTTCAATTTCTCCTCAAGTTGGGCCAACCGGGAGGAGGAGTCCCCGGTGAGGTGCTCCAGGGCTTCGGACCCAACCTCGCCCATCTGCAAATTGAAGATCAGACCGGTTAGCAAAAACAAGCAGACAGTACGATTAGAAGAATTACCGGGAGAACGTTACCTCTTTCAGCTTAAGGGTCACCTTGACCCAAAGCTCTTCCATTGATTCTTTAACCGGGGAATGCTCTCCCCTTCTCTTCTTAGAGGATGGATGGGCGGTGGCCACGTGCTTCACCCTCTTCTTCCCCTTCCCTTTGTTGGGAGAAGGGTTCACCGGCGCCTTCCCTGATTGATCAGCCCCCCCGGCCTGGGGAGTTTCCTCCTCGTCATGGATCTCGACAGTTTCTGGTTGGCCCGGTCCGGTTTTGGCGGCAGTGGAGGAAGAGCCACCGGTGGTCTTCGGCATGTTGTAAGCTCTGAAGTTCATATCTACAAAACAGGCAAAAGACTTGTGAGTATTTGAACTCTGACCGGTAAGAATGAACGAGAAAGAATGAGAGATACCTGGGTGGCTTGGGCCCCCGGCCTCGGCAGTGTTGCCCGGGGAGGGTACCCCGTGCCCCGCTGCCTCATGGGCCCGAGGGGTACCCTTACCACCCGGTTGGATCCACCAAATCCAGGCCCCATAATGGAACATTTGCCCGGTGAACGGGTCCCCCTGTAGAAGTTTCTCCAAACTTTCTTCCAAGTCTGAAGCGCTAGCTGGCTCGGTGTATTGGGATTTCAGGATGTGGTCATTCCACACGATGCCGGCCAAAGGAGAAGTGGTGGGGAATTTTATAAAAACAAACTTTTCCTTCCACTGCCTATTGCTTTGTGGAAGGTCAGAAATGAACTGACGACCATTACGACCTCTGAAGTAAACATAACTGTCACAACCAGATTTACCGGGGAGGACTTCAAACAAAAAAAGGAACAAGCGAAGGGAAGGATCGATTTTTAGCTCTACACAGATATTCACGAAAGCGTTGAGGAAACGATGTGCGTTGGGCGTAATCTGCCCGGGGAGAATCTTAAAACAGTGACATAACTCTACTAAGAGAGGACGGAGTGGGAAGACGGTGCCACTCTCTAGAGAAATGATGTGAAAACCTACCCTATCATCCCGGTGAGGCTCAATAATATTGGGCCAGTTGGGGTCGTACTCAAGAACATACCCCGCCGGGAGATTCCTACGGGCCTTATTCTGAGCAATCTTAGAAACCCGGGGAGGAATGTCTAAAGGGTAGCTGGTAGGGAGAGGAGAATAACCGGCCGCTTCCAGCCGGTCCTCCCATTCCTCATACGACTCGTTTTCAGGGTCATAGGGAGCCAGTTCGTCCTCCACCGGTGCATCCCTCTCCTGAAAAAGCTGACCGGGCATCTGATTCACCAGTTGCGATTCAGGAATGTTGGGATTCGGAACTGACCGGGGTTGAGGAGTGGGGGAAGATGACCCGGTCGAAGAGGAAGAGGAAAGGGATTCCTCGGATGCGTAGGCACCCGAGGCGGAAATGTCTTGACTATCGGGGGAAGACATTTACCGGGAGAAAAAATGAAGAAAGAAAGCTAATAAAAGAAAGGAAGAAAGCTTACTTGACTCAGAGGGCTAGGAAGCTAAAGCGGAGAGATTGACCGGTAGAACTCAGGAGGGTCGCGCGAGAAGAAGTGAGGAAGGCAATGGAGTTGAAGCCTTTATATAGGCGAGGAAGAAGAGAGAAGGAGGCGACGTGGCCACTCGAGGGCGCGCCGCGTCAGGCGGCGCGATGATGACCCTGGCAGACGAAACGACAGCCGACCGTTGCAGCGACAGGTGTCCAACACGTGGCGGAATTCGGAGTTTGAATTTGAACTTTGAAATCTTTAGGCGGGAAAAGCTGAAATTCAAAATTGAAGTCTTGTTCCAGAGTCTTTACTTCCCGCTCATGACAAAATTGCATAACCGTGAAGTGGAGGGCTTATTGATGGGTGTATTTCACCCATGACCGGTCAAGGGTCCGGATCCGAGAGTTGACCGGTCAAAGAAGTTAAACTTGAAAGGGAGATCTGAGTCGTCAGCAAAGGGATGGCTGGTTGACCAGAAAGTCGACCGGTACACTTCGGTCTAGTTATACCGGTCAAACTATTCCATCGCCTAAATTCATCCTCCGAAGTTAGCCAAGCCAACCCTCAAAGATCACCCGGTCTAGTTTCCGAAGATCGGAGAGTGTCGGCAGAAAGAATCCAAGAGGACTTGGACTGTAGTGGTTGGAATTGCAGAGATGCCGAAAGGAACATTTCCAAGCCAGAACACGACAAAGGTGCAGCCTCCTACGCAAGATGACAAGGCAGAGCCAGTCAGGTCACCCCACACCAGCAACATGCCCCCACGTGGGCGCACGTGGTCCTGCCCCCCCCTAGCTAGTATATATACCACTTGTAACCCTCGAAGAAGGGGATCCGAATTCACTCTCTAAATTCCCTTGTAAAAGTGACCGTGCATTCCCTGTTTAAATACAATTCGGGCTACAGGTGTTCCACCTAAAGTCCTACCGGTCATTTTGGGTGTTTTTACTTTCTTTACTTTACTGAATCTAACCAACTATTCTAGACCCGGTCTAGTATAGTTTGACCGGTCAAGTAATTTACACCATCAAATAGCATAACCCAATAAGAGAAGGGAGTCACGATTAATGAGAAACGAGCCATGCTATAGAAACTCATCATAATTGACACCACATTTAGCTTGAGATGGAGGGATCTTATTTTAACCACAAACGACATTAAAGAATTAAAGTTGACATCGCTAGTTAATCATACTTAAACAACCAAAAAATGTTAAAAGCCTACTAAGTTTGATGCCAAGAATTTGACACAATGTGTTTTTACAGAGAATCATTGTCTATGATCTATAAATTATCATTATATGTGAAATACTTGGTGCCAAACATAGTACGTTTCTAGCATTACTTTTATACATTATTACATGTGAAATACAAGTGTTGTCAACCGTGATGGAACAATAGGATAACCTAATAAGGGAAAAGAGCCACGATTAATAAGAGATGAGTCATGCTAGAAACCCATCATATTTGACACCACAGTTACCTACGAATGACATTAAAGAATTAAAGTTGATATCGTCAGATGATCACACATATACAACAACAAAAATGTAATATGTGTTTTACATACAATCATTGTCTAGGATGCATAAATTATAATTATCTCGATCTGTGAAATACTTGGTGTCAAACTTAATACGTTTCTAGCACTACTTTTATAAGTTATTGCACGTGAAATAGGAGTATCGTCAAGCCTACTAAGTTTGATACCATGAATTTGATACTCTGTGTTTTACATACAATCATTGTCTAGGATGCATAAATTATCATTATCTCGATCTGTGAAATACTTGATGTCAAACTTAGTACATCTCTTCATGTGAAATAGGAGTGGCGTCAACCGTAGAGGAACAAAAGCGTAATGGAGAAATTTACCTAAATAAGACTAAAACATAATGATTTTTCTCAATATAGGACCATATGTTTTTATTTCCCAATGTAGGACCTGTGGTCATTATTAAATAGTTATTATTCAACTAAATGTCCATCATTAATGGACATTATGCCTTCCACTAAGTCATTATTAAGTCTTATTTAAGGAATAAAAAAGTTTAAGTTCTACATTAGAAAAGTCATTATGTTTTAGTCCTCCTATTTAGTGCAAATTTCGTAAAGCATAACCAAATAAGAGAAGGGAGCCGTGATTAATGAGAAACGAGTCATACTAGAAACTCACCACAGTTGACACCACAAAAAACAATCGTCTAAGAATATGTACACACAGACGACGAAAATCGTTTCTGAACACACAAAATTCACAAATGATTATCGCTTATGTGTGTATAAATTCAAAGACAATTGTCATCATGGTGTCAAACGTGGTGAGTTTTTAACATTATTGTGGAAAAAATGGGTAGTAATTGATGGTGGGTGATGTTTTTTTAAAATAGCAAAGAAATGGATGATGTTTAGTTGAAGCCTTTGAGAATATTGAAAAGTGGAGAGAAAGCAAAGAAACCTAGGAATTTCCGTCCACAAAGAACAAACAACAGAGACAGTACAAAGTGGGTGCAGGTTTTGCTTGGAGATGATGATATATTATCAACAGACATTCACAGATTATTCAATTCAGATGTTGCTTTTTTTGAGCTAGTGATCTCAGATGATTCTGCAGTAGCCACAAGTTTTTTTTTTTTTGAAATTTTTTTAATTTACAACCATTCAAATTAAATATATATTTCATACTTGTTCCGACCTAATAACGCATATTCGGTCAATGTATCTAGTAGAAATCAAACTTACGCGAAATCCCATAAGATTTTGAGAAATGGTTTTCTTATCACTCAACCCAAGCTCACTCACGAAGTACTCCATCTTAAAATTCCGGTGGGCCGAAAACAACGGATAGAGTGTCAAGTAAAGTTGATTACTTGCATATAGAGTCGGGTTCTATTATTTTAACCAAAAAAAACTTTAGCTAATAGGTAGGGTTTTACTTTTTTTATATTTTAACAACTCCAACACTTTATTGTGCTTGATTGTATACATTCCACGATAAGAGTTTAATTCTACAACAATCTTTATATATATTGAATTCAAAATAATTAAGCTAAACATATATGAAAGAAGACATAAACTTTATTCTAAAATAAATAAAATACTCGGGTAACATTTTCATCCTAAAAAAAGATTATACTTCACTTATTTGAGAGGAATTAAATTGAGATATAATTTCAATCAATTTCCATTAAAAAAAAGTTTTATAATATGTACAAGAAGAGTAACATTTTTACCCTAAATGAAAATGTAGCATTACACCCTTTGGTTAATTTGTACCATTTGTCCACTAAAAATAATATCCCGGGCCCCACGCTTCACGCCATAAACCCTGTTTTTAAAAATAAAAAATCCATCTTTCTTCACTCTTCACTCTTCAGCAGCCCCTTCAGTTTCCCCTTCGCCACCGTTCTCCTCCCACAAATGGCCACTCTCTCCCTCTTGTTATACCCTCTTCTTCTGCACCTCTCCCTTCTCATCCTCACCCCCTCCGCCGCCGCCGTTGCCGCCGACATCCACGACCTCCTCAGAAGCAGGGGACTTCCGGCGGGGCTCTTCCCGAAGGATGCGGTGAAATCCTTCGAGCTTTCCGAGGAGGGCCTGCTTCAAGTGTACCTAGAATCGCCGTGTGTGGCAAAGTTTGAGACAAGGGTGTTTTTTGACAGCTTTGTTAGGGCCAATCTCAGCTACGGCGGCCTCACCGGAGTTGAGGGCCTCTCCCAAGAAGAGCTTTTCTTGTGGCTTCCGGTCAAAGATATCATTGTGTCCGATCCCTCTTCTGGTATCATCTTGTTTGACATTGGTTTGGCTTATAAGCAAATGTCTCTCTCCCTTTTTGAAGATCCTCCCACTTGTAGCCCTCAAGGTAACTCATTTTGAATCAAATTCTCTTCTTTTTTTTCCCAATATAAAGTTTCACATTTGATTGAGTGGTTGAGGTTTATGTATGAATGGCGTCATTCTTCACTTTGGTTCAGACTAAAAAGGAAATGCAGAATCTTTTTATAGGATAGAGGGAGAGCGATTTAAATTTCAAGATTTTACCATAATGGCATCATGCAGACAGATGAAATTGTCCATATTAGGAACCATATTACCTTATTGTGTATAGTTTTAATTAAGGTTGAGATCATGATCTAGCTTTTGGGTGTTATTGGGTTTGTTTTGGAGGAATTGAATTTGAATTTTTTAAAGTTAGAATAATGTGTAGTGTGTGCAAGAATGCCATTTTACTCTCGAAATGCATCCCAAAATCCAAACTTTATATGATTTCTTGACAAGAAGTAGGAAATCAGATGTGGGTTTTAGAGTGATTGTGTTGTTTTGGTTGATCTGATGGTTTTGAGAAAAAATTAATGCAGGGGCTTTGATGAAGAAAGGAGGAAGAGAGGAGTCTGGATTCCAGATTGAAAGATTCAAAACTTTCTCCTTTGCTGGATCATAATATGATGATCCAAGCTCAAATTTTGGTGCTGAATGCTTGTTTTCTGTGTTTGTGTGTGGGGGTAGAGCTGAATCTTGGAGATGGAGTGGGATTCTTTCTTTCTTTTTCATTTTTAGAGTTCTTAGAGGGATTGTAAAATAGAAGCATGGAAATGTACTGACTAGACAAACATTTGGGTGAAGAATCCAAAAAAAAAAAATCAGTTATGAAAAACATTCAAATCCTTAGTTTGTTCAGTACTGATGTTTGGTTCTGCCTATTTCCACAATCTTTTGAGTCTTTAAAATGAAAGTTACTTCAAATTTTTCAAGAACACCCTAACCATATGGATTGCATTGTTGTGTAATTTACATTTAGTTTTTTTCTTGTGTTTAACACAGAAAACATCTGTTTTGTGAAAATAAAGAGTTTTATGTTCTCTCTGTTGTGCGAGTCAAATTAAGAAAACATTTTCTCCACATTTCAGACAACAATTTATGCCATGCTAAGACCACTTTATCAAGCAAGTAAGCAGTGCAGTTTGAATAATCAATGAATTTGCATGACCAATTCAGGCTCATAATAGGCCTGCCTTGCTGGCTGGCAAGGAGCTGCAGTGTGGGCCCCAAGAAGTTATTTTTTTCAAACTTTAAGCTGACCCAGAGACTCAAACTTTGAAATCTTTGTTTAAGATGATTGGGCTATGGGCTAGCAGGAGCTGGCTTTTGGGTCCCACCATTTTGGGAGACTATTCTTGATTGAATGGGGAAAAAAGGTTGGAGATTTTCACAAGCAACCAGTATATCTTAATACTAATAATTATAATAATGGCAATCATAACTACTGATCTGTAAAGTGGAATGAAAGCCAACAAAATTAAAGGCAAAGATCCCAATATTAAGGACTTGTTTGGTTGGGAGATTTCATAGTTAAGTCATGTTTTTTGTTCCTCCTTTCTTCTTTTTTTCTGGATCAAGATTTGTGTCAACATTAACCTGATACTCATCCAAAATTCTAAGGAAAAACCCAATCTTTATATGTTCTTGATGATCTGCTCCAAGAACTCTTGAGTTTTACGAGCCTCTGTTCGCCCGCTCCGACTTAACTGCAATTAACCACAATATTACGATATCAACAATGTGTAAGTGCTTGCTTATCGAAAGGGGTTAATTATTTACTTCATCGTTCCCGTAAAAATCTACTCTTTTTTTGTTCTGTCATCTAAAAAATCTCTTTTTTTGCCTTCTTAACAAATTCTAATTGCATTTTTTAAATTTTTAAAACAATTTTCTTAAATTCTCTGTCAAAAATAGAGTATTAAACAGGTCAAAGGATGAAAAAATGGGAGTATTTTATGGGATTTTTGTACCTCGAGAGTAGAAGTGACGAGAAGGGCGCCTTTAGAGGCAGTTGCAGAGGTGTCATTGAGTTGAGCTCCAAGACCTTTCATGGCTTCCATGAGTTTAGTGAAAACACCTTTTCTGTTCTTGCAGATTATCTTGATCCATAGCTTGTTTTCAGCAATTGGAGCCACAAGAACCTCTCCCTGTTGACACCAACACTTGATAATTAAGGGATTGTTTGGTTTGAAAGAAAAAAAAGGTGGAACCAACACTTGATTCTTTTAATGGTAATCTAATCAAAAGCATTGGTAATAAAAAAGATGTTATTAATGTCATTTATGTTTTACTCGTATTACCCGCGGATGATAGATGGATAAAATAATGTATGTAACGAGCGAGGAATGAAAAGTGACTGGATGAATGAGAGTCATGCCCCACCCTATCCAAACCCAACCCGTTATCATTCTTGACACTAAACTTAATGTTGCCCCAATGGAGGCCTAAACCATTGCCCCAAATTTGGTGGTGCAAAGAACACATTTTTTTTACCTCAATCTCACAAATCTTCATATCTTCTTCATCTTCTTCTTTATCATAATTATTGTTCTTGTGATGATTATAATCTCCCATCTCACCTGGTTTCACATCATCATCATCATCATCCACCCCACCACAATTTGATGATCCCATTTCCAAAAGCACATTGCTCAGCTCTTTCACATTGCTCTGCAGCTCCTCAATGTAGCTTATCGCATCTGTTATTATCGTCTCTTTCGTCATCTGCAATTCAAGAAACAATCATCTTTCCCATCACAATCACATTTTACCATATTTCACACTCTTGGGCACAATATAAAAAACATTCCCGAGCCTTCAACTGCAAGTTTGAATTTTTGGTTGGTTTGGTTCTTTAAGACATATATATCATAAAAATGTGTTTTTTTTGTTCTTGACAAAAAAAAGTGTTTGTTGTTGTTGTTGTGGTGATTACATTGGTTATGTTGGGAACGGAAGCCCGGAGCTCTAAGAGACGTCGGCTAAGCTTCTCGCGACGCCTCCTTTCTGCGATGAGGTTTTTGGATTTGAACTCGCCATCGTCTTGGACTTGTGGGCATTTTTTCTTCCTCTCCATTGATCTACCATCTCTCTTTTTCCCACAGCTTATTTCCTCAGTGATGCAGAAATCAGCTGAGAGTTCTCTTTGGAGGCTGTCAACTATCATTTTTTCCCTTCCTTTTCCCAAGGGTAGAAAGGGCAAATTAGTGTTTGTTTAGAAAGGGCAATGGTTTTGAGTTATGGGAGGGAAATGTGGCATTTATAAGTGTCACTCCCACTCAGTGTATGGTATAGGAGTAGGGCTCCCCTACATTTTTGAATGAAGGTGGGTCAAGAAAAAGAATACTTCCTTTGGTCTTAAATGAATACAAACATCAAAAGTTTCAGGTTGGTTATCATAAAGTAAATCATTGATATCTTTAATTATGTTTTAATAAATAACTCTTCAGTCTCATAACTAGTCACAAAACAAATTATGATGATTTATTGAGTTCATTTTCAATTTAATTTATTTAATTAATAATACAAAATTTTATATGCAATTTTAGTACTTTTTAAAATTTGCATCAAATACTTTATAAAACAAGGTGTCATAGTTATGTTATTTTAACAAATTTAAAGAAATCCTACATGACTACATTTCTATATGTATGTATTATGGAGTCCTGTCTCTGTCCCAAAATTGTCGTCTTGTTTACTATTTTAGACTGCTGATAACTTTTGTTTGCATGCACATTTTTATTCATCATTTGATCAGATAAAAATAAATAAACATGTCATCACTTAGCTTCTTTTGTACTCTTTTGATGTAGTTATTTAGCATGTAAGTTGTACTTTTTATTTCTATAATAATTTGTAAATAAAATTATTTTAAAAGAGATTTAATGGAGTACTTTTTTTTAAAAGAAATAGTAGATGTAGAAAATGAAACCTAAATTGAGTTAGGCCGCGGATATTTTTACAAAAATGGGGTCACAATAAACACATGCATTTTATTCTTTGAATTTTAGGGAAATCATAATTGAGAGGTGAGAATCTTCTTGTTAGAGTTTGTTGGCTATTCTTCCATTCAACTCAATGTTTTTTGTGCCTTGAGAGAGAGAGAGAGTGACAAGACTCATTTCTAGGATGAATCTGCGTAAATTATACCGGACTTAATTATATATAACAACTATATACGGAGTATTATATAACTCGTAAATACATATATTATAATATGCACAATCTATGTATATATTAAAATATGTTTTTTTAAATTTATTTACAAGGTTTACTCCGTAATTTTTATTTTTTCATTTATTGGAACTTGGAAATATTATTAACAACCAAGTGAAAAAAAATTCTTTAGCATCGGAATGGGTATAATACAATTATATGTACGAGTAGTATATATATGTACCGTAATGGTAGTATATGCGTTGAATATATGATAAATACCATATATCATACCATATAATATAGAAAAAAATAATATGTACTCCACATGAAAAAAGGCACACATTTTTTTCTTTTGCAACATACTCAGATACACATAAAAATTGCAGGTATGACCCTAATTCACTTGATGCATAATAATGAGCATCAATATTGTTCATTTTCAATTTTATTGTGTCTGAATTTAATTGTTCACACATCAAATTTAATAAAGAAATTACTTGAGAATTATAAAAACAAAAATAGCCCCCAAAGAGCCTACAATTAGCATTATTATAAAAAAATCATAAATTGTGACCAAGAATTACTTTCCCCACTATTAATGAACTTGATTATTGAAACTATTCTCTTCATCCCATTTACATTTTCGAGTTTGATTGGACACACTTTTTGAAAAAGTAAAAATAATGTATGGTTAATAATGGAATGAATGATCTAATATATTCCAAAAAGGATGGTACATTTCATCAAAGACCCAACCGTTTCTTCTTTATAGTTTAGGAGTAGTAGAAATTTGTTATTTCTGTTATTTTGCCTTTGGTAACTCGTGACCCCTTAAGGGGTAGGGTAAACTACCATTTGATGCAATGGACTCAGCAAATTAAAGGTTAAGCCTCAAATTGGTTAATAAATGTATAGTTAATTTCAACCATCCTGAATTAAACTTCTCTCTTATTTTTTCACAAAATAAAAAAAATGTTATTTGATTGCGATTTATGTAGAAGAGAAGTAATACGTACAACTCAATGTATTCCTTAAAAAGAATAAGAAATGTAATTTGAATAAACAAAAAAAAATTGAAAAGTTGTTTAGACGAAAACACACACCCTTATTTTTCTTCTAAATTAAGAAACGCATATTCATAAGGGGTCACATTTTCGAACTCCAATGAGAGCAATAGCTTATTGTGCAACAATAAATTGAGAAAAAAAAAATAAACATATACTACATCATAATAAAAACAACATGAATATAAGGACTGAAAGAATCTTTTTCTCAGACAAAATAGATATCCATCTGGAAATGTTAAAGTATGCTTATGTTGTCCAGGGCTACTATAAACAACTATTGCTACAACACTTAAACATTATCAAACTTTACCAGAAAACCCAGCAATCCAGCACTGTTTTTAAGTTTGTAACGACCAATGACATTAGCAACATCACAGTTTTCTTCTTCTTCTTGTTCAACATCCAGAACAAGACATCATCGCATCAGTTGGCATTTGGAGTGTAACCGAAACATAAACGCAGTATAGTCAGAAACGAGATGCAAGGTACGAGAAAAAACTACCAAAAAAGAATTGTCCCAGAAAAAAAAAGAGAGTAAAAATGAACAAAGTCATTGAGCAGCAATTTCATGGAGAAATCCAAAGAACCTTTCTGTCTTTATTTTCAGATTTAAAAAAATGAATTGAAGAAACAATGACATTCTTCATCATCATCGTCTTCTTCTTCTGTTTCCCTCTTCAATTTTTTCCAGTTGCATGACTCATATAAAGTAATCATCAATGAATCTCCATCCTTTTACTCCTGAAGGAGATGAGATGGTTCCCCCCTATTGAGTGTACAGAGATTGATATAAATAGATTGAGATGGTCAATCAGTCTTTGCCAGGTTTAGTAGCTATTGATCTGGGCCTGAGGCCTAGCGGGCGGGCCCATCAAGCGAGAAAAGGGCCTAGCAGTGGGGGGAAGGTTTCTCTGGCCGGAAAAGCGGTCGGTGAGAGACAATGGATCAGAGACTGGCCTAGAAAAAGCAGTAGCTAGCTCAACTGCAGATGCCACCTTTCCAAACCTCACTCCTCCTGGAGCATCGCCAGAATGTGCTGGGGGATCATTGGCTGGTTTTCGCCGCCAAGTCTCTGGTGACGGTGGCCTCTCCTCGCTGCTGCTGCTGTTGTTCCTCGGATTCTCACTCTGCCTGTTTCTCCTGTGCACATCTGATCTTGGGTCCCGCCTGCTATCGGTGTTCACGGCCCTGTTATTATTACTATAATTATCCTTTGTGATAACAGTGTTATCAGCCCTTTCTGGGTTGTAACGGGTAGTATGATGTGCTGTAGCATCTTGCTTGTCCCTTGAGACATAAGAAAAGAAGAGAATTTGCAGGAGTTATTTTTAGTCCATGATGAAACTTGAGGCTGTCAAGATCCTGGAATATACTAGGGAAAGATAGGGAGATAAAAGATATGCAAAAACTCAATAAATTTATTTAAGAAATAGTTTATTCTCTTTTATTTATATCTACTACGAATTATATTCAGACAAAGAAATATACATATATATGAATTTGATGTATAATAATATGGAGTAGCATTTAAATTTCTTTTAGGAAATTAACTTTTGATAGTAGTTCTTTAATATATCTCTAGCATCTTTGAGGATCGATATCCTTAGAGTCAAGGGCACATCAAATTTCCTTACCTAGACAGTGGTTGATGGTCATGGTCACCAGCATGATCAAAGCCCCTTGCCTTCAGAACCTGGTTTAAGATAGTAGGTACATCCAGTTACATAAAGCAATACAAAGCACATTTTTCATGCAAGTGGAATGGGAAGTAATATAGAGCAATATGCATAAATAGTCCTCGTGACCTTCAATAAGTGGGTAAATAGTCCTTGACTTTTTAAAAGTTGTGAAATAGTCCATGTGGTCAAAGAACCGTTGCATAAAGGAAAAGGTGAAGAATGTAGAACACACGCGTATTAAGCAAAGATGTGAAGCATGTAACAATAAAAAATTGATCTGGAGTTTTAATTGTGACGTGTAAGCTATGGCATGAACCGTAGTACAATGTCTTCTATCGCTTAGTTCAATTCTCAAAGCAAATTTTTCATATTTTCCATAGTGACCTTGAATAGTAGTACAATGTTCTAAATGAAAACAACAACAACCCAGTTAAATCCCACAAGAGTAGGGTCTCGAATGTTCTAAATGAGGCCGACATAATTTTGTTCTTCCTCTAGCTTTATTCTAAGGTAATATCGTGCACTATAAGAGGTGGAAGAAGAGTTTTTCATGCTTTTAATCACGAAGAAGAGGGTAATTTTGACAGATTAGCTTCTTTATTTTGTTTCATGCTTCACATTTTCACATAGTATGCATGTGCTTTAAGCGCTTCACGTTTTACCTAAAGGAAGGACTATCTATGCAACAATTCTTTGACCATAAGGACTATTTTGTAACTTTTGAAAGTACAAAGACTATTTACCAACTTAAAGACCACAAGAACTCTTTATGCATGTAACTAAATAATCAATTATGACGACAGTAGTAAAATTCATATCATTATTCCCCCATTAGAGGGCTGCGGCATGAAGGGCAACTAGATCAACTGAAAGCACACTCACCACTTCTCTTGGGCGAGCACCACCAAATACAGTGCTCCTGCAACAGCAAATCACAAACACCATAAGGCCGCAGTTAGATGATTCCTTCTTTAATAGAGTATCCCATAAATTGCTTAGAAGATTGAATACTCAAATGGAAGAATGTTATGTTCAACTCATAATTTCAAACTACATCAATAGACAAAAGCGATGGAAAGATAAATTGTAATGCACACGGTAAAAAGAATTCAGCAGCTCTTGATTTTTTTCTGGTCACATAGGTTTCTTGAAGGGGAATAAGCATTCTGAGTTCTAATGGTAAGAGTGTTAGACAATCAGAAAGCCAAATGAGAGCAAAGCATGTGGTACACATCAAAATACTCACTCCTCAAGTGTCCACACAGTGATACACAGAAAAAAAGAGTTAAACAAGTGAATTAGCATACTACACCTCTCTACTTCGGCTTCTTTTCTGCAGATAAAGCATGTGGTACACATCAAAATACTCACTCCTCAAGTGTCCACACAGTGATACACAGAAAAAAAGAGTTAAACAAGTGAATTAGCATACTACACCTCTCTACGTCGGCTTCTTTTCTGCAGATAAAGCACACAATAGCAAAGAA